TTCTTAATATCCATTACAAAAGTACCAACTGAATCGATTTGATTCTTATGGTTCTTAAATTTTTACTAGTATATCATTTAATGTACAAGAAATTTCTGTAAATGAATATATTCTTTTTTGGTTTAGTTTAGTTGTTTTTTACTGTTTAAAATGAATGGGAAATCTGTGTGGGAATTCTGATTTAACTAGTTTATGATGGGCTGGGGGAGGAGATACTCAATAAATCTTCGGTATTTCCAAAATTCTTGCGAGAATATTGATATCAAGGACTACTAGTTTTTATTCGAACATTGACAATAGATTAGGTAGTATTGCCATAATGGTATGGACATTTAGAAGCTTCTGTATTGTAAACTGGGAGTGGGTGGTAAGTTACTGAGACGATCAGTTTTTTACATGGATGATCTTATCCAATTGGTACCTATTGGTTTTTGGCGAGTCCACAAGTAGTCTCTCAAAGATTTTACGGTGAATCGATACGTTATCAGACATGAATCAAAATAGAAACTCGTTGCAATCTTCTTGTTGTTTTCCATAATATCCTTTAAGGAACTTAGGATGGACCTTTTGAGTGACCTTAACCTACACCTTTCTTTTGAACTGTTTTTCCAATACATAATATTCAATTAATCACATCACTTTTCTCTTTGTGAAGTGAAGTGGGACAGTTGCTAAAGGGTTTGAATTTCAGGTTTGAGACAGCCTTCATCTTTTATTTTTTCAGCCGGGTAGCACTACAAATACTCACATGTAAAATGTGGCTCAAAAATGAGTACTCGAATCTGTGCATGGTAAATAAATTACTTTTCTTTAATATTTTGTTTACAATAGCTTTATGTAGAGAATTTTTTACATCAAGTAAACTGACTAATGGAGTGGATAAAAGTACATTGGTAGGTTGATTAATGTGATGGTGAAGAAGCCAACTTTGGGTTTAATTGTCGTAACAAGCCTGGGTATCAGCTATGAATACTTTTATTAAATAATCAACACAGCGCAGACTACTACTTTATAATTAGTAGTATAAAACAGACTCGCAAAATATGAGCAAATACTGTAGAAGCGAATTTTACATAAAGAAAATCACTATGTCAATATTAAATTAATTACAGGTTGTTTTTAATCAATTACCCATTCAATTGAGAGACTAGAATCCACCGAAATGATCGATTATGTGATTTATCCATAAGCAATGTTGAATGAGAGAATTATTTACCATGCTAGAAGTTCCTTTTCAGTATAACAACCGCATAATAGAAATAGTATTCACTTTGTTCAGTATAATATATGTAGCTATAGTATATAATTGTCAGGTCAAAATATGCAACATTACAAAAAATTCCTGTCCTTTATGTGTTTAAATTATATATATTAAAGAATATCCCTTAAAATCTTTTGAACTGTAATTAGTTAGAATTCATCTTCGTCCGTTAATATTTTCCAATAATTCTGACACATTGTTTCTATCTTAATATATATATTAGGCATATGATTTACGAAGTAAATAACTCTCATTTGTTATTAGGCATGTCGGTATATGATACAGTTTATTCCCATAATTAATTGGTTGAAACAATAGTAAAACAGTCAAATTTGTTGTAAAATTTACAATGTTGGACAATATGTGACTCAGAGTTTTGATCACTATGCTTTTGTAGTTAACTTTATGAAACGAAAAATGTTATTAAGAAATACTGTTTTGCATTTTCTCAATATTTCGTCTTCAAATTCCTGTGCCTTTTCAGTTGTTATATTGTAATGTTTGTTATATACTGAATGTTGATATATATTAGGTAAAATTAATTTTTAAAAATTGTATTTCTCTATTGAAGAGTAGTTATACATCGCTTAAAAGAAAGAAATGTTTGTAGTTTAAATCACGAATTGATGTTAGTTATGCAATCGCTGAAAACCAAAAAGGCACTAGATATCTGTCATATAGTCGTATGCAATCCCTCAGAAGTCCAACCCCACAACCTTTACGTTTGAAAAGAAGAGATCAGTAGGCTACTAGAGATTCTCGATCATATGTAATCACATTTAGGCGCCATTGTAAGGTAAATACTTCACATACGACATCGTTGGACTCCACTGTGATGAAAAAAAGTGAGATTCAACAATCTCCACAACATGTATACTAAATATTTCTCTTTTTCAACACTAGCTTTGTGATTATTATCATTTTATGTTATTCTAACTAATAATATTATTATGATCATCACATTATTATCGTTTTATAGTATTTGTTGCAACCGGATTATATTGTAGATCACCAACGTAGATGATCTATGTCGAAATTATTGGAGGTCTACTCGAGTTAGACGTGAATGGTGTGACAAACTAGCCAACGTCGAAGTCACACCTCGTGGTCAGCGCTTTACGTGGACTACCCCAGTGATGTATCAAGGTACCATAGGTGTTTTGAACACTGTAAAACACAGAGGACGTTAATACAGAAATATATTAGTTAAAGTAGATACAAGCGAAAGTAAGACCACAGCAGCATGGGCTAGTCCATGGTATACGATTAACTGGCGCGCGTTGGTTGTCCCTGACTTTGACGAGGATTGATGATTTGCTCGATATTCAATGACCCAACTGCCGGATGATTTGGCTAGGGCTTAGTGACATTTCGCTGGCCCTACAATATATGTGTCAAATACTTTAAGATTTCAGTACTTAAGTGGACAACCGGAAAATATTTTGATTATGGTTAACTACTTATAAGTAGCAAGGTTGATTTGCTCAAATTTAATTGGGAAATTTTATTACCAAAGCCCTGAAAATTATTAGGAAAAACAGAAAATAGTGAAATGTCTTTCTTAATTGTATTGAAATACAGGAAATTTCTTGCGGATTTGAATGCAATATTCATAATTAGGAATTTAAAACAATTATATTATTGGATAACGGTACTAATTCGAGACACGGAGTGAACATGAACTCAGATGCAGATACATTCAGCTGACTAGTCTCAAATAAGATGAAACATGTGTCCTGGATTCCACTTCTGGACACTATCCAGCCCTGCTTATAATTATATTGAGCGATTAAACACACACATACGCCCGTTGAGGAGCATAGACCACCCACCAGCATTCTCCATTCAACACTGTCCTGGGCAATGCTTTCCAGTTGTTATTCATCCTTTGCATATGTGCTCCTATTTCTCGATGTAATGTGTTTTTTGGCCTTTCCCTTTTACCTTCAGGACTCCGAGTTAGGGCTTCCTTTGTGATTTCTGTAGTGTATGTCCTATCCACTTTCGACGTCTTTTCCTAATTTCTTCAGATGAAATCTGTCTTCTTTCTCTTCCACAATGGTCTGTTGCGGATGGTTTCCCGCCGACGGACATTAAGTGTCTTGCGTAGACAATTTTTTGTAAATATATGTACTATTTCATTATATTTGTGATAGTTCTGTCTTGATGTTCGTATTGAAAATTGAGAATCTGCTGTTGGCTGACAGCTGTTTTGAGATTCAAATGTTCTTCAACTGTAGGAATACCGACCTTGCTTTGGCAATCCCTGAGTCCACATATGGGTCAGATCCTCAAAGTTCATCGGTGATGCTGTGCAGGTGCGTGAGGTTTCTACCTCTTTATGTACTTCTCCATCATGTGTGATTGGGTTGGTTTATCTACGCGTTGTGTTTGAGGATCCTTCTGTTTCCCTTGTGTACGTCGAGCCTCTGTAGTTCCCACACTTACTGTGATCTCCTTTATTTGGTATGTTGACCAGTTATCCTTCTTTCCAGTCTATCAGTACGTTTTTCCTGCTAAACTCTTCTAAATAGTATGTAGAACATCTTTGCAGTTACTTCTATGCCTGACTTCAGTGCTTCAACTGAATATACCAAGTGTTTAATTCTTTCTCTACAGTGTATAATGCGGAAAATCGATATTATCTATAAATCCTAACTCTGAACCCTTAACTCTCAAACAAATATTACCCTGGTGGTACTATATTTTTTGGAAGAACTAATTTGAATATACCTATTGGATTCTCTAGAAAAATTCATCCATCTGTGTTGATTCAGGACGTTTTGGCCTTATAGCTGATGTTAGTTCGAGATCACATCCCTAACTCTAAAATCATAATCCTTACTTTAAATCTCTAATCTCAACTACGAATAATATAGGGACGCTCAAATATCTGTTTAGATCCTTATACCGCTTTGAAAACTCGGACAGTTCACAGCTTTTTGCATATTATATCAAACTATTTCGGAAAATATCACTTTTACAGTTGACTAACTTGTTCTCTAGTTATTTCTGAAACATATTGTTGACTTTTTCATCATTAAGTTGTGGCTGTATTACATCCAAATACGTGCTAAAACTAGAGCATGATCCGAGTCTAAGCATGTGCTCAAGAATAAGCAAGTCTACAAACGAGCTCCTCCATTGATGGTTAATGGCAATATGAGTCAACTGTGGAGGTCACCGCATGAGACGAAATCTGAATACATTGAACTGGGAAGCACTTGACAAAAGCTAATCAGCAATTTACTGCATGTGTACAACTTATGACATCAGTGAACCAAACTCCATTACTTAAATAATATAACTAAATTTAGTTACATTCTTATTTTTTCCTGACAGCTTCCATCAAGGTTTATGGTTAATTTACTGTACTTGTCCAACTAGTGAAATCATGAGCCGATCATTGTTAAACCATGATTGAAAACCCGGAAGGACTAGACGATCGTTTCTTCCTAGTATGTGACTCGTCAGAAATGCGAATTCATGACCTCGGATGCGGAAATTTAACCCAGGACCTTCGGTCTCGCATGAGAACACTTAACCTCTAGACTACTGAGTCGGCATCCAACAATGCTGATGTTTAACTTTAATCAATCCACGATATTGTGCGACCATCTTGACGATCCTCACGTGGGAGTGTGTGTCCCAACACTGACGAGGAGTCCCATATTAGAACGGAACGGCCGTTCAATGCTTCGTAGTTTTTAACGATTATCTACCATTGCTCGGTTCATCATTTCAATAAAATATATTGTAACGATTATCGACTTAGATAGAAGTTTACAATATTGACAACATAAAGATCACAAGTTAAATATGTTGAATAAAATACAAATTCAGAAAGTACAGAGTGTATCTTCAGAGAGTAATTTCTAAAGTCTTTTTTATTGACAACTTTCTACCCCACAGTTACAAACAGTTATATATAGACACAAGAAGTTGGCAAAACATCTTTATTATTAATAAATAATAATAACTGATCAATTAAAAAAAAGAAGAAACCAATTGAGCATAAATGAATAAAAGGAAGGTAAAATAACGATAAGATTTACGAAAAAGTTATTATTAATAATAATAAATTGTAAAATCTTAATTAAACTGACATTCTAAGCATCATTCACTAAACATTCTACATTATTTTGTTGATCAATGTTTTAATTGATAAAAAATACAACAGAATCTAAGAGGCAATTGAATTTATGATCGGAAATAAGTTTATATATATATATATATCTGTTTATAAATAATATAATATGGAATACAAATAACTAAATAGAATCTGATATAAAAAAAATTGTGATATGTAAATGTTTACATGTTGATCACAATGATAAAAAATAAAAGATTAAACAAACAAATAGTTAAAATGACTTAGACAAGAAAGTATCATATACATATTATGCAAATAATAAAAATCACTGCGACAATAATACTATAACATTATTATGTACTATGATCTTGTTGATGATAACGATTCATTGTAGATAATGATGAATAAGGTAGATGTTGTAAAATTCGATGCGTTATTCCAACTGGTCGAAGATGATAGATTAAATATTCTAAAATGTACATTTTCACTGGCATTAAACCACCGAAACTGATTAGCAGTGGACTTGCCGGTAACTTAATTCAGTTTAATAGATGGTAATGGTGAGTGGGAGAGAAATAAAAAAAAGTAGATTAAAGTAGTTGAGATTATATCTTCTAAATAGAGAATCAATGAGTGAAAAGATGGTAAAATGATGTATTTACTCAAACTTAGATAAAGTTAATGTTTTGACAGCACTCCGCCTGGAGTCCCTCCGGGGGCTACTGCCGGTCCCAAGCCCGGATAAAGGAGGAGGGTTGGGCATGGGGTTAGCGTCCCCATCCCGTAGAAAACTAACTCGCTAAAAAAAACGCTAACCAGGAAAAATTATTCAAACCTTTTAATCTCTGCCCTGGGAGTCAGAAGGTCTTCATTTAGAAGAACTATGACGCCTCATGATGAAAGCCGAATTCCTTCGGAAGTTACGAGGCCGATGCCCCTTCTGACAACCAGAGCGACCATTTATTTAGGTACATGGAATGTTCGTACAATGTGGGACACCGGGAGAGCCTTCCAAATTGCTGCAGAAATGAGAAGATACAACCTAGAGGTACTTGGGATCAGTTAAACACATTGGACGCAAGTTGGACAACAACGACTAACTTCAGGAGAGCTTCTGTTATACTCCGGCCATGAAGAAGAAAATGCCCCACATACACAAGGAGTTGCATTGATGCTGTCCAAACAAGCGCAAAATGCGCTTATAGGATGGGAATCTCATGGACCAAGGATCATCAAAGCCTCGTTCAAAACAAAAAAGGAGGGCATTACAATGAATATTATCTAATGCTATGCGCCTACCAACGATTACAATGAAGACGCTAAAGATCAATTCTACAATAGGCTGCAGTCAATCGTCGAGAAGTGCCAAACAAAGGACCTGACCATTCTGATGGGAGATTTCAACGCCAAGGTTGGAACGGACAACACTGGATATGAAGACATCATGGGACGACATGGACTGGGAGAAAGAAACGAAAATTATGAGAGATTTGCAAACCTATGTGCCTTCAATAAACTGGTCATAGGTGGCACCATATTCCCACATAAACGCATTCACAAAACCACATGGACTTCACCGGATCACACCACGCAAAACCAAATCGACCATATTTGCATCAACTAAACGTTCAGGAGGACTATAGAGGACATAAGAATCAAGAGAGGAGCTGATATAGCATCAGATCATCACTTGCTGGTCGCCAAGATGAAATTGAAACTCAAGAAGCACTGGACAATGGGGCGGACAATATCACAAAAGTTCAATACGGCCTTTCTTCAGGATACTAACAAACTCAACAAATTCAAGATAGCCCTCAGCAACAAGTTCCAGACCTTTCGTGATCTAGTCAGTGGAGAAGGAACTACTATGGAGAGCAACTGGAAGGGGATCAAACAAGCGATCACTTCAACATGCCATGAGGTTCTGGGCCACAAGAAGCACCATCACAAGGAATGGATCACTGTTGATACACTGGATAAGATTCAAGAAAGAAGGAACAAGAAGGCAGCAATCAATACCAGTCGAACAAGAGCAGAAAAAGCCAAGGCACAAGCTGAATACACAGAAGTAAACAAACAAGTGAAGAGGAGTATCAGAATCGACAAACGTAAATATGTGGAAGATTTAGCAACGACGGCGGAAAAGGCTGCAAGAGAAGGAAACATGAGACAACTGTATGACATAACAAAGAAACTCTCTGGAAATCGTCGCAAACCAGAACGACCAGTGAAAAGCAAGGAAGGCGAGGAAATAACCAACATTGAAGAGCAACAAAACAGGTGGGTAGAACACTTCAAAGAACTCTTGAATCGACCAGCCCAACTGAACCCACCCAATATCAAAGCAGCACCCACGGACCTCCCAATCAATGTTAGCCCACCAACAATTGAAGAAAGCAGCATGGCCATCAGACAAATCAAGAGTGGCAAAGCAGCAGGACCAGACAACATTCCAGCAGAGGCACTAAAAGCAGACGTAGCGGCAACTGCAAGGATACTCCACATTCTTTTCAATAAGATTTGGGATGAGGAACAAGTACCAAAAGACTGGAAAGAAGGACTCCTGATCGAAATACCGAAGAAAGGCGATCTCAGCAAGTGTGATAACTACAGGTGCATCACTCATCTTTCAATACCCGGAAAAGTCTTCAACAGGGTGTTGTTAAACAGGACGAAGGACTTCGTAGACGCCCAACTTCGTGACCAACAGGCAGGATTCCGTAAGGATAGATCGTGTACAGACCAAATCGCAACTCTACGGATCATTGTGGAACAATCAATTGAATGGAATTCATCACTCTACACCAACTTCATTGACTACGAAAAGGCATTTGATAGCGTGGACAGGACAACACTATGGAACCTTCTTCGACACTACGGAGTGCCTCAGAAGATAGTCAATATCATACAGAATTCCTATGATGGATTACATTGCAAAATCGTGCATGGAGGACAGTTGACAAAGTCGTTCGAAGTGAAGACTGGTGTTAGGCAAGGTTGCTTACTCTCACCCTTTCTCTTTCTCCTGGTGATCGACTGGATCATGAAGACGTCAACATCTGAAGGGAAGCACGGGATACAATGGACATCTAGGATGCAGTTGGACGATCTGGACTTCGCAGATGATCTGGCCCTCCTATCCCAAACGCAACAACAAATGCAGGAGAAAATGACCAGAGTAGCTGCAGCCTCAGCAGCAGTAGGTCTCAATATACACAAACGGAAAAGCAAGATTCTCCGATACAACACGGAGTGCACCTATCAAATCACAATTGACGAAGAAGATTTGGAAGATGCAAAAACCTTTACATATCTGGGCAGCATCATTGGTGAACATGGTGGATCTGATGCAGATGTGAATGCGCGGATCGGTTAAGCAAGAGCAGCATATTTACAACTGAGGAACATCTGGAACTCAAAACAACTCTCTGTCAACCAACACCAAGGTCAGGATTTTCAATACAAATGTCAAGACAGTTCTAATGTATGGGGCGGAAACCTGGAGAACTACGAAAGCCATCATCCAGAAGATACAGGTGTTTATTAACAGTTGTCTACGCAAAATACTTCAGATCCGTTGGCCGTACACTATTAGCAACAAGGTACTGTGGGAGAGAACAAACCAGATCCAAGCGGAGGAAGAAATCAGAAAGAAGCGCTGGAAGTGGATAGGACACACACTGAGGAAAGCACCCAACTGCGTCACAAGACAAGCCCTCACATGGAATCCTCAAGGCCAAAGGAAAAAAGGAAGACCAAAGAACACATTACGCCGAGAAATGGAAATAGACATGAAAAAGATGAACAAGAATTGGATGGAATTAGAAAAGGAGGCCCAGGACAGAGTGGGTTGGAGAATGCTGGTCGGCGGCCTATGCTCCATTGGGAGTAACAGGCGTAAGTAAGTAAGTAAGTAACTTTTTCTTCATAAATAAACTGTAATAATGGTAGAAATTACTAACCAATCTTAGCTAGACAACCGTTGGAAACCTAGAAGCACCGATGTTGTCACTTTATGTCTGGCTTTTTATCATATGATTTATCCACCAATCAAAATATGACTTACACAATCTTAGCACTGTGCCAAACCAATCACGTTCGACCGGTATGGGCAGCCTAGAGTCCTTATTGGTCCTATGTCCGCCTAGCCCGTCCACTTCAGTCCAGAACACCAATACTAGCTTCCACTATGCGAATCATGTTTTTCAAACATACTGTGTTTATATATTAAACAAACAGACAGCAACGCACCATAAAATAGGAAATAACATTTGTAGTAGGGCAGTAGTCAGTAAACTGAACATAGCTTAAGAACAGTAAATCATACAATAATAAATTATGGGTCAAAATAAAACTTATAATACGAGGAATATAAATATACATAATCTAATTATTGAATAGTCATACCATAAGAATGTACAGATAATATTAGTCAATTGATATGTCTCAGACGTTACCCGTAATGTAATCTTCACTAGGATATAAACAACCGAGACGGCCGTTTCGTCCCAGTATGGAACTCTTCAAAAGGGCACATCCATGACCCCACCACTCGCGATAGAACCCAGAACCTTTATATCACGCGTGAACGCTTAACCTCTAGACCATCGGGACGGGAGTTAATGGTGTATATGTCTAATTTTAATCAATCCGCGATATTACGCGACCATCTTTCATTGTTTTCGGTGGGTACCTTTTTCCCACCCGACACGGTTGGTTGTCTAACTTAAATCAATAAACTTCAACAATCTTATGATCCCCACACCGATATTTGATTTAAGGGTAGATACATAGATAAAGAAAGGATGCTATTTTATGCAAATTTTTTAACGCTTACTTTCTTTAAATCATACACTGCTTGTGTATAATCTGTTTTTATTGGATCCCACTGAATTGTTCCGCTATTATTATTATTACTGCTGTTATTGAATGTTCCAAAAAGATTGTTTATAGTAACATTACTGAATCGTGACATTCCAAACATATCAATACTATCTTTGAATTCTATGCCTAATGCTTTTGCACATTTAGCTAAAATTTTGTTTAAAAAAAACAGGAGATAAAATGAGGACTATATATAATCTGGCCAAACAGCCTTTGGAAAGCCCAGTCGCGATCAATCGCTTAGCACTTTAGGCACCTCTATGTGTCAAGAGAGAGTTGGATTTGTGCATTGACTAGGTGAAGTCACAGTATGCAATCAGAAATTTTTTAGTAAATCAAATAGCTGTGATTTATCAGTACTGATGAACATTATATAAAGCTCGAACAAATTCAACAGATAAAGTTTGACTAGGTGTACGGAAGGACATTGATCTCAAAGATTGGTTCGATGGTCCCGTCTTCTTAAGAGACTGAAATTCGATTATTTCTGCAGAGTATTTGGGAGATATGGCCGAACAAATTGAATTCAAGCAATTGTCTACTAGAACCAAAGCATTTTCTAACCTTTTGTTTCATTACTCAGATTAGATAAAATTACTCAAAGCAGAGACTTAGGTCAGAAAGCTTGTTCAATACTTAAGTCTTCCAATAATGTTGGAAGGGATATTCGTGAGATTTATCATCTGTAAAGTTCGGACTAGCGTCAAGCACTTAGGTTTGAGCAACTTGTGTTGGGGAACAGCTATCGTCAGCAAGGTGATCTCGGGTGATGCTAGATATATGGGGGCGACTGTCGATTCCCAGTTGCGCACGTTGTGAAAGATACTTTGTTTTTGAGGGACCTGGTAAGAAAATTGGACTAGAAGTGGAGTCTTAGCCACTTGGGAGTGAGTGAACAGCCCAAGAGACTACTGCTTGAGATCGATTAAACATAGTAATATTGCGAGCAGATTTCGATTTGTTAGCTCCGTACTTCAAAGGTTTCACCTCTGGAGACGGGATTCCGTAGGATGTGATGAGGCGAGACATTTTCGAGGTCGACACTTATTAACTCTTCCCCCTTATGTTGTGAGGGGGCAGTACCATTGTACATGCCGGCAATCTGGGTGAAAAATCTTACTGCTGGGTTTATTCTGTTACAGGAGCGATCAGAGTAAATCGCTTATCTATTTTAATCTAATGTATATAGAGTGTTATATTTTTGTTAAATTATGATTCTTTACGGTCACATGTAAGTTGTCACTGCGATATTCCTATGGTTCAATGTCACAGGGAGAATTTTGTTGCCTATTGGTGGTTATTCATTTCATGGTGTTTGCTACTTTTGTATGAATCTACTTAGTATCATTAAATTAATTAAAAGATATAGATCAAAATGTACAAACTTTGTGATTAGCACTATGCTAGAGCTCAGTAGTTACCTACGCTTTCCAGCATCTAGTTAGTTAGATTCCATGTAACCGGGGAGTATGAGTTTGCTATTGCTTCCAGCTTAGATAGTCCAGTGGATTGCATTTAATTTTAACTAACTAAATAAAAAACTTACATATTTGAATATCTTCACGAACATGCTGAATTGGTCCACAGTCAGCCAATTTATCTAAACCCTTCAGAACAATTAATTCGAGAGCAGTTCTTGATAGGACGTAGCCAAAACTACCAGATACAGTGAATTCATTTGAACGGATCTTAAATAATTAGATACATGGAGTATTAAAAAACCTTTTTTAAAAAATCAGCATTATTATTATCATTGAAGAGATGAGTTGTAGCTAGCAATGGAATCAAGGACGCGTGTTTCATCCTATTTGCTACCTGTCAGACGGATGTACCTGTGTTCCGGAGTTGATGTTAACTCGGGACTTTCGCTTCAAACGCCCAAAGAGTTATCAATTTAGCTACTAAGACCAAATAGCTACTTGTGCAACGGGTATAGGATTTAATCTGACTTGTGGTGGTTTAGGTCATCTCATTTTCGACATAGTGAGGTGATTTACATAGGATGCACACATACCGTTGAATCCTGGGTCAGTAGTCCACAGGTTAAGGTCCTAGGTCCGATTTCCGCATGCAAGATCATCAATATGCACTTTTGAGTCCCACACTAGGAGAAAAAGGCCGTCTAATGGTTCTACGTTTTCAACTATGGTTTAACAATGATCGGTCCATGGTTTTAATAAAATATTAACGGGACAATGAAAACCATTACAAACTGAACTGTTAGCATTATTATTGCTAAACTAAATACTGACGAAGAAAACACTCAAGTTAAAAAAGAAAGGTTACACTTATACAGCGTAACAGAAAATGAGCATGAAATTAACAGATTAACGAAAATTTCGGAGTTTACTATCAAACTGTAAAACTTGAATGAATGTTAGTTTAACATAGTTATAAAATTTTAAAGTGAAAAATTAAAGAACTTTAAGAATGCTCTGAACAAGCACAAGTCAGTATTCAGAATATACTAGTAATCATAATGTAAATGAGTTAACTTTCATTGAAACATATTTTTATATAGTATCATGTATTATCATTAACAGTATTTAAAATTCAAATAACTGATCCGTCAGGTACTTGGGAATGATTCACATTCTAAATGTGAAGGCTAATGATAAGCGTGATGGGCTAACAAATGGTAGTCTCATACAGCCATCTTTCATAGTAGTTGCATGTCATAAACTAATCGTCTTTCCGCTTTTACCATTCAGTTCTAGTGTTCACGAATAATGTAAGATGTAGAAGTTGCTAAAATGGCACTCATAAAACAAAACCAAGCCCCAGCAATTGGCGCTTCCAGACGGCGGAACTAACTAAATTATCATCACTGAACCAAAAGACACACTGTTGAGCCTCAGCAATGTAAAGCCTGAAGAAGCCCAGTGCTTATAACTGGGGTTTGAGAGGGCTTACGGGGTCCCACACTTAGATGATATAGCTGTTTAATTTACCAAGTGTTACAATGGTCTGCTACATAATAAAAGTAGTATTTAATAGAAATTACTGTCAAATGACTAATTCGCCAATAACTACAAGAATGAAAATAGAGACAATTATTCCTAGTATTACTATTTGCTATAGGTCGGTATTTTCTGATTGGTGTTATTCCAGACTGAATTGGATCGATCTCTATTGGTATATAGACTTTATAGGAAGATACCACGAAACTGTCTATGGTTTAAAATATGATGTCCCGGATTCCACTGCCAGTCAGTATCCAAAAATATGATAAACACTAAAACTATAGGAAATTATAAGACATTTAGTCAAGGGAGTCATATGTCAGCATAGAATGATTAAATCTAGTCCTGAATACCAATTACGGGAAAACAAAGATCATTACAAATACCAACAAATATTATATCTGTTGAATTAGTCGGTGGCTATCATTTCTCAGTAGATTGAATGAGAAAGTGTTGGGCGTTGGTCTAAGTATCAGTGTGAGCACCAACACCAGGGTGTATATTTACTCGACTAACGAGTCCTAAATAGAACGGAACGCGCGATATGGGTGCCACTGCTAGCCACTATTCAAAATATAATTAACCTGTAAATGCAGACAGAAACGAAGTTTCAGTTTAAGTAGTCCATACAGCAAACAGACTTATCGGATTTAGTACTGAATATCAAAGATGGGACAATATGGATATTTACAATGAACATAAATGAAATCCATTGTAAAAACCATATATATATATATATATATATATATATATATATATATATATATATATATATATATATATATATATATATATATATATATATATATATATATATATATAGAGAGAGAGAGAGAGAGAGAGAGAGAGAGAGAGAGAGAATAAGTGTTTCGCTTTAATTTAAACCTGAACCGAAAAACAAACAAACAGTATATCTGTATATGTATTGACTTTAATCAAGCAACTAACAAGATGAACCTTAGCTCATCTAAACACTCGAACTAACACTTAATTATGGGACAAAGTAATGTTTAGATTTGTAACAATAAAGAAATCGTCACAACCATCTAAATACGAAATCAGAACATTATAAAGGTGATATTTTTAAGTGTGACGATGATCACTATAAATTACTATTATTAATTATCATAATTGTATTGAATAAATTTCAAACAAACATATTTCAACAAATAGAAAATGTATAATATACTTTAATTAAATGATAGGTTACGTTTGTATACAATAAGAAACTGACGAATTTTGAACAATTAATTACAACAAGCTTTATATATGTACAAGTAAAGGAATGTAGATAAGGTTGGGGAAATCTGGAACTTTATTATCAAAAGGTAATGAGTGTCGGTTATTCACATTTATCATGAGGAATCTCGATTCAATTTTGATGAATTCCTCATGAGACCTAGATTGATAGCAAAAATAGTCCTTAGAGGTTTTTAGTGAAGCAGAGTAAAATGGTGAATTTTTTTCTAAAAACTTTCTCTTAGGTTTAGAAAGTTATTTAAAAGCTGAAGTGACAAAACATTAACTAACAATGGACTGTGTCGGGGTTGCATCCATAGGCGATATTTAAACACTAATTAGTCTGATTAGTAGTTTGGGAGGAGTATGAACAAACATGTGTAGTTTTATTATTGATAGCTATCCATAATTGTTTCTATCTACAAAAAAACCAAAATGGGAATTCTCTTACAAACCAAAGTCTTCAAACTAGTTATTTAAACTAATGGACCAACAATTAATAATGCAAGTAGTCAAATACAAGTTTGTGTATTCGGCTTTAAGCTATACCACTTTCGTGAAGGCTAACGATACTACGCAGACAGTTAAGCTGTAGTGAGTGAAGTGGGGTTCGAACGTATAACTAAATAGATGAAAGACTAATGTTCAAACCATTAGGGCATTGATCTATGGTGAATGAATTTTAATCTAACAATACACAAGAAAATCACTTTTTTTTCAAAGTAGAGTTGTACTATTGGGTCATGGAAATAAACTATATCAGAAATACTATTTATCCTTCGGAGAAAAGTTCTGCAGAAAATGTGTTTTGTGTAAGTGCAATAACTGTAATGCATTAGGCTGATATATATGTATATATAAAACGAATGCCGCAGCCGGTTCGTTTTAGAGGTTGTCGGTGCTCAAAGTGTTGACTTAACCCGACCACTGTATTAGATCTGTTTGAGTGCATATTACATTCCATAACCTCACTTAGTCATGAAGCTTACCAGACGAAAAATCCTTTGATGAATTGTTGAATTCAACAACATATATAGCCTTACCCAAACCATTAATGTATGGTGATGCACATGTAACTGCTTAAGAACGGGTCGCTACGTCTTGTGAAATCATTATCATTAAAATATCTATTGTAGTGAAGCAACTAGCATTTCCTAATGGACTCATCGCTCAATTAGCCAGATCAGATTTCGAGTTATCGGTATTGCTTTCTTAGAAATTTATATCATTCATCTAAATTTAATTTTACGATACAACTTGGGAGAAGTTCGCGTTGCAGATGGCTCAGTACAATACACGAAGTCTCACAACACATAAGATGTCCTGAGTTGTAGCTTCCCACTCCAAGAACAACTAAAGTTCAATCAGGAGGGGTAAAATTTCTGGCACAACTGCAGGTCTATAATAAGCCTCGTAGACATCAATGGCCGATTTGCATGCTTTACAGAGTGTTCAACCAGCAAGGGCCCAGTGAGACTACTTTATTGCAATCATAAGTCCTTATAAATAACCATGGACCCTTTCAGACACCCAAGTAGGTGTCGAGGTATTTCTGCTTGAGATTCATATCTACCACCATTGTGAAGTATCTCAAGTAACAAATTTTTAAGACTTGCATGAACACAATTTACAACAACAGCAAGATCAATAAAAATCCCTTAATACTGAAAAATAGGTAACAATAAGTTTTTAGGTGACTAACCTTATAGATATGACCCATAATAAATGGTTTACGAGGATCTGTGTATTCTAAAGCATTCCTTAAGTTTTCCATGATCACATAAGTCGTATCATCAGCTTTAAGAAAATATGCTGCTTTGTAAGTTTGTTTATGTAATGCACGAAGTGTTTCACGCATTGAAATCCAAGAATGTTTAACATAATTTTGCGTCCTATCAACATCTATAAGTAAATAAATAGGGAGCTTAATAATTCATTTTATTTAAACACATAAACATTGGTACAAGGGAGCACCAAATACATATGCACCACACAGTAACAATGAAGCCAGCAGCAGCTACTATTATTTGTGTGAGGGCTATGATACTGCCCGCGTGCGGTTTTCTTAGGGGTCAACACCCGAAGCTTTCGACCTGAAGGTCTAATCCACGAGGCAGTGAAGCAACGTTAAGAAATCCGGTCCCATGACAGCTGGTGATCAACAATGGGTCCGCACGCCTTTTGTTCTCTCACGATCCTGGAGTTCATGTGCACCATTGGTTTGGAATCAGGGTTTTCCAACTCCTCTAGGTAGGCCCTCCGTGTCCAACAACCCGGTTAAGGTGCCGGGAATCCGCCTTTCGCCTTCTCAAGTTCGCGAACAGCCGTCTTCTCGAAAACAAAATAATCTAACAATAGTGTGAGACAGTTATACTGAACAATGTTTTTTATGACTAATAAAACCACAGATCAAAGTTATAACGACTTGATACGCATACTCGTCTCAAAGAGTAATGCCTCTAAATGCCCTAGTATGATCAAGGGTCGTTGAACCTATTTTGGCCATCGGCCACTACGAAACTGTAACTCCTAAAATTCCTCCACTGTCTTGTGGATTAGACCTACATATCAAAGGCTCGGGGAGTAGTCTCATAAGAAAAACAATTGCTTAGGTTTTCTAGTCACTGGAATGACTTATAAGCATACTATGTATGGAGGTGAATTCTACGCTACTGAATGACGGATTGCATTTTAATATAAATTCCCTGCTTGATGTAGATCACCGTGCAAAACGAAATGCTATTACACATGAATTCAAGTACTTGGAATATAAACTTCTTATACCTATGAACATTACACATTTTCTTTACTTCATAAAAATGAATTAATAAAACTTTCTAGACAACGACTAAAAAAGATCGCTTTTCTGACTTACCAAGCATTTTCATTAATTTTTCCGCTTTTGAACTAATAAAACTAAAACGAGTACACCTTCGGGCCCAAGTTGTTTGAACATGATAAGCTTTGGTTAGATGTGACTGTGGTTCCGTTAGGATATAACAATATATATTAATCTTATTAGCAAGATTTTGAGCATAACTAACATCAGCTATGGTAGATGAGTTATAAGAAAAATTAGGGAAACATACTTAAAGAAAATATGGAATATTGTTTTGTGCTCTGAAGCACACTGCCATCTGATAAACATTTGAATTTCGGTATCCACGATAAAGTAACAATCCAATTTAATAAAAATACGAACCCTAATCCAATTAAAAATAACTTCACATCATTTAATCGTAACGTAGACTAAAGATATTTATGTGTAATTAAAGACATCTTACCAATGTATGCACTAACCGGTTTAAACCACTGCATTTTTGAACCATATTAGGAACCAGATTAAAAACTCTGCGACAAAATAATAATAGTACGGTTTTAAGCTAAACAAAAGAGTACACACATTAACAAAAAAATGTATGGAATGATTACGGATTACCACTTATCATCTATGATATATGCAATGGAAGAACCAGATATAATTAAGTATGTTAAGTTTGAAAACCAACTGATATCGACTTAAAATCATTTTCTACACGGATAAGAACATAAGTGTTTATTCCCTAATTCGTACATACTGGTTGTTTGGGTCTTCTCACTGATGTTTAGGACCGCAATGGATCAGTCTTCTCTGGTATGTATGTATTATGTGCAGATTACCTCGATATTTTTAGTAAGTCATAGTCATCTTAAGCCAAAACGGATGGCGACTATCAGTAGAAATCAGGATGTGCTTGTGCAATGGCTATCTGGACTCAGTAGCCAAGTGGATAACGCGATGTTAGGAGATAAAATTACTGGATCCAAGTTCGGGATTGAACATCGACTCTGGAATGCAAGTATACCCAACTAATTAGTCCCAAATAGGACGAGACGCGCGTCCTGGATTTTACTGCTAGCCACTATTCACCACTTAAAACAGATATTTACGTTAATTTGATGTGGGGAAATGAAATAGTCTTACTACCATCGTTTTTATTTACGGTTAGTCGGATTTTGTTTGGAACTTCTGACATGTGCTCTTGATAACGCAAATAGCGGACCTCTTCGTTTATCGATGGAGAATAATGAAGTACATACAACTAAATACGTATAAGAGTAGGGACTTGGACGTGCAATCAAGTATTAGGGCATGATCCTTAGGTTAGAAATTACTGGATTATAAGAGGAAAGATTGGATAGTTCCTGAAGTTTACCTCGGAAACTAAACGCACTACTGATATTTCATAATAGGTGCTGACGATGTAGTTTTATCAGGAAGTTAGATGTTAGTAACTTCACCTGATGGGACGTCTTAAACCCGAACTATGGGCAACACGAAGGTGCGTCGGCTAGAAATTCCGCACTTTGAAACGGCACAAAACTAGACTTTATTTATCAGATATTGAAGTAATTAATGGTATAAATACAGAAGGGACAGACCAACAAAGCCATATTCACCGAGATTTTGAAGACAATGGAAATAAATATACGTACCACCATAACCTATTATTCAGTCTGTTCTCGAACTTCATCTTCCTAAACAACACGATCAATGACTTTGTGAATGAGTGTTACACCTTGATCTAGTCACCCTCGAGTTTTCCATAACCTAATTATTCTTCAGTCGGCATTATATATATATATATATATATATATATATATATATAAGACGATGATTTATTATGAACTACGCTGACTACGGTTAGTTTGTCCTCCTTGCTTAAAACTAACCAACTAACAGGAGTACTACTTACTCGGTTTTGCAAGGCTGAGTAGTGTTTTGAAGATGTAATTGGTTACATACCTATAATCCGTATACAGTTTTTACTTGTAATGGCCTGTTTGACAGTAGCAAAGTAGCAAAACAGAGCCATTGAGAGGCTTACTTTTTATTTGATGAGGTGTCAAATATTGATGAGTACCAAAAAAGCCCGCACTAAAACCATTAATATTCAGTCAGAATTCAGTTGGAAATCGAAATTACACTTAAATACATATCACTCACCAACCAAATGGACAGATAGAACTGCTTTGGGAGTAAATCCACTGATGATGTTTGAAGAAAGCCTTCTGAAAACGTCCGAAAAAAGCGAAGACGTAGCCTAGAGGCGAATGTTATAATAACCGCGACAAAATTAATGAGGTTGAAAACTAATCAGAAAATAGTTTACAAGTGGATAGTTTATTGAAATAGTAATATTATAAGGATTCTTCTTACTCAATGAGTCCAATGAGATCTTCAGACTTTCAGGGTTTTATATGGCGGAAAAGACAAATGCATAACGAGTATGATAAACCTACCTAAAGATGCAGATAGGTTTCGGAAGTCTACATATTGTTTCTAATTAAGGGATATAGTTAAATGCTTGGAAAATTCAGTGTAGAGTTGATTTTCATGATTCAGAAAACATTTTAGGCAAAGGGAAGTTTAAGCACTTTGCAGAAATAAATAAATACGGGGTGCATGTGTCAAACTAGTATCGAGGCAGTACATATTAGAACGCTATAAAACCATCAAATAATCTTATAGAGATATTCAGCAGACAGTTTCTAGTGTCAGCTACTGGTGTCCTCTTTTCCTTTCAGATGTCCGAATATTCCATCTGTAATGTTCCCTCAACATTTCGTTTTTCTGTAGCACGCTAAGCACATCAAACAGAGTCCGAAAAGCTTGCAGGTAGTTCACTACACCCTTATTTTGAGTGACTTCGGACTTCGTGTTCTTAACATCGATAACAGTTATTTAGTTTTGAAATTTATCCTTTTACTGCCTGATACAACTTGGAAGACTGTAGGGGTATGAGATTCAATTTGTTTTCATTGTTAGACAAACACCTACTCCGTAGATCAGACACCATAAAGCTGTCAATTGGAGTTTGTAGATAATCCTATACGACCTTATGGTGTGCTCTTCATCGCGTAAGGCTACTCGAAGGACTGGCTCACAGCCAAGAAATGTAGACTTACGCTATTATACATAGTTTGAAAGCCTTACTGTTTACTGCCAACACCGAGTCCTTATGATTTTCTTTCCACAACAGACAAGCAATCGAAGACAACAAACTGGTATTTATAATTCTCTATACGAATCTCTTTACTTCGTAGATGGTTATCGTAAGTACATGTTATTCACACTTATGAGATTTATGCTTTTCCTATGTGTTAGAAACCCATTTAAAACAGTTCCGGGTGCATCCCAGGTCAAGAACCTCAGAGATAGAAATATCTGCCGAAAATTACCTACATATAGCTGTAGTAGATAAGTTTAGATATCCCATGTTTGCCGGACATTCTGTAAGGAGGTAAATGTAATTTGACATGCATTCTAACATTTGTAAGTGGCGAAGATACTACAGGCATTTGAGTTTGACAACGCCTTAACCAGTAACACCCAATATCAATCGTACCCATCAAGTGAAATCAAAAGACATAAGCGAGGAGTTTCGAAGATATATTTGATAGGCTATCAATATGTCGTGGATCGACTGATCTGATCTGGCTAGAAATTGCAGTAGATGTTGAGCACAGCGTTCCCACTCGTGATCTGGTGCGGATGCATGACCGAGCGCCTTCCACCAGGCGGGTCCATTAAAACTAATGTGGTCAGCATCTAATGTCAAAAACTTACAGGGCTATTTATTTTGGGGATTTATTTACCGCTACAGTAAACATCAAACCTCTTGTTAAAATCATACTTTTGTTGACCGATGTAAATGGAACAATTTATTCCTGTTGCACAGCTTTATTCACTACCTGTGTGTTATATTACTAATGACACTATATGTTAAGCAGTGTCTTATAAGATACTCGCTAAACCGCAGACAAATGTGGGCCATTGCGCATAATACACACGCCTGACTGTTGGGCGATTCCACCAACAACAAAGTACAACCATAGCATCGCCAGATTCCTTAAGACTAAGTATCCGTCGCATGTGCTGATGATGAAAGTTTATAGGTGGAACATTCAGGCATCTAAATAGATAAGGCAATATCAATAGCAGTTGCTAGAAACTAACAGGTGATCATTTTTACAAGATTATTTGATGTTTTTAGATATCTCATAGAGCTTCACTCTAACAAAGTTTTGCATCAGTTGAATGCGATTGACTACCTACCTTTTGAATATGAAAAGCTTAGTTATGCTTCTCGCTCATGAACCATCTCATTAAGTGTTTGACTTAACTTTCAGGGTATGCGCCATCAAGACATTCCAGACATTCCGTTACCCATGTTGGCATATGTTGCTTGCTTTTAAGATACGTCTGACTTTTACAGGTACGTGTCGCATCTATAGAAAGTTTCATATCATCAGGTAATTTATCGAGACACGGTAGTTGAGGAAGAAGCGATTTCAGATCCACACAAAATTGTGTATACTGATTAGTTTGTGTCTATTGTGATGGGTCCTATACCGGACAGTCTTCTCATGAAATCTTGAATCATGTCAAGGGATAGTTAAGTTACACAAAAAGACATAACAATGCTGTAGAATTGAAAATTTACAGGTCAAATCAGCAGTAGCATCACGTTCTATTTTTGGTAATCACCGAATTGATATCAAAACAAAATAATTCGGAAAGACTCTTCTAACTGTGAATGGGGGTAAGTAACCGGAGAGTTTCACATAATGTCAGGTCTCCCTGTCCTCAATAGGAGAGAAATCCTGAATATTTATCCAACCTGGACTGTTTATCCAAACAACCACATTTGATCTGAATTATTTTTCAAACGATCTATATGCACACGCACCTAAGTTCATCCCAACTACTTCATTTTACAAATGAATATATTTCTCATACCCATACTCTGATAAACTAATTATATGACAGGTTTAATCTAACCACGTAAAACTTGACATTAACATGTTCAGAATTATTATGATTTTGATTGTAGTAAGAATATCCCGCATTGTTCCTTTACACTATTTAACCGTGTTAATTTAATTCGGCTATTTGTTTACTCTGAAGAAAAGGCTTAAATTAAATCACGAATACAATATTTTGATCATTGGGACATAACAAAAAAATTATTTACTAGTAATAGTATGGATGCATTCCCAAAACCATTGAGGGGGCTGTTGAATAACATGCAGTGTAGATAGTGTGAAATGATTTCAAAAAGATAGGTAAACACTTCGTTCTTTTGCAGCTTATCTTAATTACAAAACCTTACAACCACTGAGTCAATGACAACACACTTGTATAGACAGTAGCTTTCTCAATTTGAAGGCAAGAAGATACAGACAAATAGAGAAAGACTTATATCTAAAAGACTATCTGCTGGATAATAAGATGGTATGCACATATAGATAGTTGTGGCCAGTACGGATTTACGGCTATTGAGTTGTTGTGTTGACCAGCGACAGTACATAGAAACTGAAATTCAGTGTTCGTTGTGTACATTACAGTTTTTCAGCGGATTTGAAATGTATTTGAAAACATTCTGTGACTACTACTTGTGCGGTAGCTTGTAGTGACTCACACTAATTACGAGAACACAACTGGTTTAATAATAACAATTATTATTATAACCAATTATACCAGTGTTTGTTTTAATGTGCTTTTGTTTGACTGTGCTAATGACAGCTATGTTGTGCTTCCATTATTATTCACACACTTCGATTGTAACTTCGCGCGAATTCGGTTACGTTCTGTAACCAAACTTCTATCTTGGCACGATCTCGGTATCCTTTCGATGCCACGAGATCGCCAGCAAATAAACCTCGACTTGGTCCATTAATTGTCTTCTGATATTTCGGTTCTCGGGGATTTTATGGAGTCATTTGGAACGAGCTTCTTGGTAGCGGTATTCATAGTCAATCTCCACTCGACGCCACGCTACAAGCTCATTCCCAGTCTATGAACTACCTTCGTTTTTGTCACTTACACGATCTGCAAAGCAAGAGCGAGTCCTGACTAATTTTTAGGCCGTTTCAAAGGCTTTATTCGATGTTCCCACCTTTTACGAACATTAATATTTTACTTAGCGCATCGTAATACAAGAGCGTACCTGACCACTAACTTTAATTTCAAGTCAACACGATTCGAGTACATGAAAAATGGATCCAATAGTTGACCACATAAGTCTCTACATTTAGATATTTGAACATTTGATTACTTTATTAAACACTCGAAAGAATACTTGCTACTGAGATAAACAAAAGTCAGTCCACCTGTCAGCCTTATTATCGTAAGTTAAAGCAGTGACCTGTAGAATTCGTTGACCCGGTACTAGTTACCAGCCTAGAATATACAGTTGTGAACCGAATAAAACGATTGTTTATATCAGCGATCGCATATCTGTTGAATTATGGCCTACTATGATATTAGTAGTGCACTTGTAGTGGCATTGGACCATAACCACACTATCCTCAAAGCTGAATACGAGATTACTCGGAAAATAGGTATTCAATATTTAACGCGAAGAAATACCTAACGATGGAGAAGGCGCGAATAATGAATTGAATAGACTGGAGTTGATCGAATGGCATGGCTCGGCCATGCAGGCGTGGTCTCTGCTGAATGTTACCTTATATCTTCTATTCATACTAAATATATCGTTCTTTCTCTAGCCTAACCTTGTTCTACATCATGTATTGGTAATTGATACGATACAGTGAGTTGGTGTAGTCGATGGTGTGACTTCCACGTAAAATCTTATAGATTAGGCAGTTATATCATGACATATCTACAAATTTAGGATTAGGTCTATTATTAGAGCAGTACTAATATCATAGTAGACCATAAGTTCTACACACTCATATAAGACCAAATCCTAAAATTGCAGACTTGTCATGATGTAACTGCCTAATCTATAAAATCTCACATCATTATCTACACTGACTCATCGTGCCGTAACAATTACCAATATATGATGGAGAACAAATTCAGGCTGGAGATAGAATAATATATTTAATGTGAGTAAACGTAAGTTGTACAGAGCAATCACGCCTGTGACGCTGAGCCATGCCATCCGGTCAATTCGAATTAATTCAATTAATTCTTCCCTCTTTCCCTATCATTGGTTTGTTCTTCGCGTTAAATATTGAATATTTATTTCCTCAGTTGTCTATTGCTCAGCTTTGAGGATTGTTTGGTTAGGGCCCTGTGCACTACATATCAATAAATAATATTGCCATTGCTCTGAAGACCAAACGAAAGAATAAGGTAGTTTTAAAGAATGTACAGAACATGGTGCGGTTCAATTCCAAACTAACCATGTCTTGTCAGAAAGTCAGCTGGTAAACTGGCCGTACAACACATCCCCAAGATTGTCCAACTAACTAATGGCACATGAACGTGAAAAGCAATCCAATTGAAATTTGAAGATAACCTTTAATACATGAATTAGAAATCGGTTCTTTTGTTATTTGGGGTTGTAAGTTACGATGGGATCAGTCGACAATGCTCCAGTAACGGACCAGAGAAAAGTTTAGACGTAATACTATACTAAAGCTCGGTTCTCGAAGATCCGGGGTTAATTAAAAATGTGAAGCTACAGGTTCGCTGGAGAAATGGCTAGGGACCATTACACTTAGATTAGATATTTAGAAACGAAGATTTATGACTAACAACCTCTCAATTTTGGCTTCCCTGAACGTAAGTGATTATGTAGTCGGACCCTTAAATTTTGTCGGCAAAATCGAGCCAAAAAGTCCTACCGACGACTGGTGTTGGAATTCAAAAAGGTTGGATGAATGAGTTTTGCAGGTCAATCTGCAGCAGGTGGATTTCGCTGCCCACCCTCAACTCGTTCTGAACGCTCATTCGATATTCTCAATGCATACGATATTATGTGCTACAAGAAAGTCTATCCCACAAAAGGTCCCCAAAAGTTGCAAGTAACGTACAATCAGAAAGGATCGCACTGGGCGAAATATAAAGGAACTAGCCATAAAAGCGCATGTATGCATTTCCAAAAATAAGGAACCAATGCACAGAGGCGATATGAGAAGGTGGGCTTCAGTGTCAAATAAGGATAATCGATAAATATATCTCTAATCCAAAAAGCTAATTCCGTCATGCAGACTTTCTTCGACAAGCTGAAACCGTAGTCTCCCAATTGTTGGAGCCCAATGGCTCAACCAGCAACGATGGTTTCGCCGTCGATCTGATAAAACAGTAAATTCAAAAACTCAACCGTTCTATGCCAACCATATCAACAAGAGCTCTACTTGCAACTCAACAAGACACTCAGATGTGATTGTGAACACTGACTTGACGCATCGGAAACTACAGGATCCAAACAAAGATACGTCTTCTCGCCTAGATATGGTTCATCCTGCTATAGCGAGAGAGGCGGGTTCACTCTCGCCAAAACCACTTAGCGTGTTGTTCTCACATTTGCTAGGCTAGAATGTAGTATCAAAAATGCGAGGCTGACTCAAATTACACCGATTCTCAAAGGAGGTCGACGCACAGAACCCTCAGGCTACCGTCCCGTAGTGCTCCTCTCGATGCCTAAAAAAATTACGGAGTCCCCGATATCAGATAATCTACGTGACTACTTGATGTTCATGAACTCCTTTTCAAGCCAACAACACGGTTTCAGGAAGGTTTATTCTCGTTTAACTAACCTGCTGACCGAGTGCTACGTTTGAAGAGATTATGACATAACCTACGGCCAGAGAACGAAACGAAAGTCGGCAACGATAGGACAGGATAAATTATTCCACTGCTTCTTAGCCCTGCTAAATGGACAGAGAAGACCTGGGAAAAGTATATCCCACAAGCACTCGGAAGCACGAACGAATAAGCACACAACTCATGAGTATATGTACAATACGAAAATGTCTTTGGGTAAAAGTCACAAAATAGCGTACTAAAAGAGGAAACGAATCAATGACATTTGAGGTCTTTTCAAGTAAGAAATACAATCCGACCATAAAAATGGGTGCTTTGTACACGAAAACAAGAAATTCGGATTTCCGAAATAAAATTGCAAAACTGAGGCGTTTATCAAGTTATTTCTGGGGATCTAGCATCTCCGACACCTCCAAGTTTAAATGACATATGTTCTTGGCCTTGGCTTGCAATTTGACCGTTTTTCATTCCGTTGGAAAATTTATAACCATCTTTGATCTTGAAGGGAAGACTAATGTCGTATAACGTGATTTCTCAAGAGGTTTCGATGGGGTCAATCATGTGTGTCTTATCAGTAAACTCGAACTGTTGGGCGCTACATCGCCGTTACTTGATCGGCTTACTTCATATCTAAATAATCGAATTTTTAAAGTCATGGTGAATTTCACTTGGGCTAAGAATGTCCTGATGGGATCCGTCAGGGTTCGAAAATAGGACCTCTTTTTTTCTTGATTTATATAAATTGCCTACCACAGAAAGTTTCATCAGATTTATCACTTTTCACTGATGATGAGTAGTAGCATCCTTAACACTCCTGGATATATCCCGACACCAAACTTAGGGGTAACACCCAGGAATTGGGGACACAACATATGGGAACACTTTTCACACTTTACGAGTAGTCAAACGCTGGAATTCGCTTCTGGTTGGGTTCGTTGAAGCGACTTTTCAGAATATCTATAAGAGGAAACTTGATATATTTTCATGGACTAAGGATAGAGTTTCACTATGCTTTAATAGTGTTTTCCTCCCACTTTATTGTCAGTTATGCCTAGATTTCTAACAGGAGGCATCAGAAATACACTGCCACGAGATATGAGAGCCCGTTGAGCGAGAGCTTCTATTCCGTCGAGAATCATTTGAAGGTCGTTGGGGCGGAAGAGGTAACTTCAGTCTCAAGGTGAAATGCTGGTAAAGTGGGTGGTTGTTCTCTTCGTTTCGGTGATGCAGGGTTGATTTCTTATAACCGTTGGCTTTATGATAGTCGTTTCTGTAAGCTATAATTTATGAACGACCTTCAAGCGATTCTCGAGTGACTCTGAAAGTGTCCACAGCATCCTTAACACGTCTGGACATCTCCTTAATCACCTACCTAAGCTTAGTTCCAACACAAACCTTAGAGGTAGCACTCAGAAAATGGAGACACATAACAGCAGAGCGTTCTGTAGACACACCTCCAGCTCCCTTAAGAGTAGTTAAATGTTGGGATTCGCTGCCGACTGAGCTAGTCCTTCGACTTCCTAGGAGTCTTTTAAGAGAAAACTTGACATATTCTTAAGGACTAGGGACAGTGTCCTCATGTTTTACTAACTTCTCATCGTTAATATGCCTAGGTTCCTACCTGGAGGCATCCGTGATCTACTGCTACTAGATGCAGATGTCCGTTAAGCGATAGCTGACTGATGTTCAAATTGAGATTATAACTAAAATTAAGGTTAAGTTAGCGATAAGTTGTCTCAGAACTATTAGTGAGAGCCAATTCCTTTCTTAAAACTATAACATTTGGGAACATGTAGCCAATATAGACAATTTCATTAGTCACGCAAAAATAACGTATTCACGGATTTTATTCAATTTAGTAATGTAATTCATTTTTCTACTGTTTTCTATTCAGTCGAAATTTCTCTGGATTCTCTTGTGCTGAGGACTATAATTAAAATCAACCAATAAGTTTGAGTTGGTCTAAACATAATTTTGTCTCACTGCCGTTAATGTTTATGCCCATACTCTATTTTTTAATAAGTCGAGTTTTCACTTTTCACTTATTTCAGATTTTATTTGAGTATAAAACCAGGTTAGGGTAGTTACTGGTGTTTGGTAGCATTTCATTTAATGGATCTCTATAGTTTGTACTTACAAAAGCGGTGATGTGAATGCCATGAATCTGTTGTTCATCTCTTTCCTTATTTTGTTTGCATAAATGTGTAAAACTTGTGTTCCTCATTAACTAAGATTTACAGTATATGTCTTTTTTTGTAGGACCATCCATTATCTTTAAATATGTACCGATCTGGCTTACTTATTTTGTCACCGCATGTGCACTCTCAGAAGTTGTTCTCTTTGTTAAAATATGTTAGCAATGTGGTGAATGAAAAGCTGTTTTTAGCAATTCCACAAAGTCCTTCTGATTTTATGTTTTGGAAAAAGATGGCTACGTTGTGTTATACAACCGCATGTAGGGTTGGTTTTTTTTGTGTCTAATATGATTTCATTTAATCTACAGGTTTGCCCATCACTAAACGTCTGTCTTCTTCTTCCTACAACCGAGTATACCAAGCCTTCAGTAAAGTTTGATATTGTAATTTCACAAGAAGCAGAATTTAGTCCTGTTTGGATTTTAAATGAAGCCCACAATATCAATCCACTTTACGGTGATCGTGTTATATATGCTACCATAGGCAAGACATTTTAATCTTTTTATAAAATTGAAAGGTATTTTACAAATAAACTTATGGTGGTTTTAGTTATTTTATAATAGGGAGAGTGTACAATGCTGTATCAAGTATTGTAATTAGTTGAGTTTGTTAGCTTACTAACAAAATACCAAGTAATATGCCATCTCAAATGATGGGCGCCATTTGACTATTGATCTAGTAGTCAAATATAATTTGCCAAAGTAGACTTAAATGCAATCTGGTTCAAAGTAAAGTGTCCAGAAAACCGTATCACAGATCTTTAAAAATTGCGAATTCCACCACATTTAATGTAATACAAGCTTGGTGATATATATTTGTCACAGATTGCAATGACGGTTTACATATTACGAGTAAAATGCCGTGCAGTGATTAAAAAATAAACTGTCATTTTGTATTCTGTCACTGATTTTTGGTTCTCATTCTATAAACATACTTGTTGTAAGCTTACTATGAGTTGGTTAGTACATTTCACTCCTTTGATTCACTTGGAAAGTGTGAGAGTCATTGAATTGCGGTTCCACCATCTTAATATGGTTTTCGTTCATTTATTTGTCGGTTTTACGACTAGTGTACCATACCAGCCAAATCGTCACATCTAGTGGAAACTGGTTCATTTAATAAAACTGATGTCCACAGCAAGCCTTAAGTATTAAAACCCTTCAAGATATCTCAAACATATGGTTTTCTTTGAAGTTGTCTTTCAGGATGTAGTTGGTGATTTTCTCAAATTGAGTTGTCTAAATGTGTATGGCCAACTGAAATTTCTGTCACTGTCTTGATACACCAGTCTTCAAAGTAAGATCTTTTATAATATACTTGTTAGTAATCAGGTTATGAGTATATACTGCCTTGCCATAGTCATAGAGTTCATCGTTTGTGTGTGGGCTGTGATACTGCCCGGGTGCCCAAACCGAAGCAGGTGGTTATCTTAGGGGGCCACACCCCGAGCCTTTGACCTAATGGTCTAACCCACAAGGCAGTGGAGCATCGTAAGGAGATGCAATCCCATGGTAGCCGATGACCAACGATTGGTTCATACGCCATTTGTTCCCGCAGGATACTGGAGCCCATGTGCACCATTGGTTTGTGATCCGGTTAAAGCGCCGGACGTTCGCTTTTCGTAAACAACACCCCCGCCACGAGAAGGCAATGAGTAGGACTTCCCTGGCAGGGGCTGTATACGCGCGGCCGTGTGAGAGTATTTCGAGAGGGAGAGCGGACTCTCCCCACTCTCGGCCGTACCAGGGCGTTCGGGGACAAACTCTCCCGCGCCGGGAGTCGAACCCGGGCCGCCTGGGTGAAAGCCAGGAATCCTAACCGCTAGACCACGCCTTCGTGATGTTAGTCTGACTGTAAAAGGCCGGGTCTACAACGCGTCGGTGAGAGCAGTTTTGCTCTATGCTTGTGAAACCTGGCCTCTCCGAGTTGAGGACGTTAGACGACTCTCTGTGTTCGATCATCGCTGTCTCCGAAGGATTGCTGATATTCAGTGGCAACACCATGTCAGTAATGCAGAGGTTCGGCATCATGTGTTTGGGCACAGAGATGATAATTCAATTGGTGTCACCATCTTAAAACACCGACTTCGGTGGCTTGGACATGTTCTACGAATGTCGTCCCAGAGAATTCCACGTCGTGCATTATTTGCCGACTCTGGGACTGGTTGGAAAAAGCGGAGAGGTGGTCAGTGCATGACATGGTGTCGTGGTATGAAAGAAAGCTGCAAAGTACTGGCTTGTGTTGGTCCTTCACGACTCCCTGGTTGGGGTCTGAGAGATGGTGCTACACAGTGGCTAGAGACGTTATCAGATATGGCTCAGAATAGAAGCCAGTGGCGATCCTGCTGTAACCTTCTTTTACTTTCTTCATAAAAAGTGGTTGTGTCTCCCTTACTTGAAAGATTTCTTCTGATTGTACCTTTCCGTTCCATCGTTACGACCACACTACCTTACACCAATCTCTTCGTTATCGTTCTCTTTTTCTTTTGTGCTCCTTAGTTTTTTTTTCTATCTCTCTTCGAGTTTTCATTGTTTTGTGTGGCGCATATATATTGGCGCTCTCTTGTACCAATATTTATGTGTTCAAATAAATAAATATACTGCCTTGTGTTTCCAGAATATAAGGCCCTATCATACTTCCCTCGTGGTGTTTATGCATGCTTCTTTAATTTTTTATGTATATTTGTGAATAACACATTTTTTCCATTTGTGTAGGTAATTCTGAATCAGACCTACCAATTACTGATGATCAGATAACCGTTGCGTCATCAGATGAATCACATGAGGATATCTCCCGTGTATGTCTCGGTGGTACTTTTGATCGGTTACATTATGGACATAAAATTCTACTTACCGTTGGTGCTCTGTTGGCTAAAGAACATTTGCTTGTTGGTGTAACATGCTCTGATTTACTTTCAAGTAAATGTCTTAGCCCATTGATATTTTCTTGGGAGAAGCGCAGTAAAATTGTTCAAACTTTTCTCAGTGATATAGGCGTACAGTCTAGAATTATGAAAATTGTTAAATTATCTGATAAATTTGGTCCACCTGGATATTCTGCAGAATTTGACTGTATTGTGGCCAGCTCCGATTCTTTAGATGTGAGTTGTGTTTGATAAAAAAATTATATAGTTACTCTAAAATACTTTTGTAATGTTTGTCGGTTGTTACCATGATTTAATTTTAAAATCATATTTAGCAAGGAAAATAGTCGAGTTAGATGGAATTAATTTTACATTGTTCACGTATATGCTTTAATCTTTAACAGGCACCACCTAAAACGTATTTGTTGAAATATGTTACTCTATCCAATAAGTACTTTACAAAATCTAAGGTGAATAGATATAATCCCCTTCAAAGTACTCCATCTTTTGTGCTGATAAAGTATTCTAATCTATTTTCTCCTTGTTTAAACGATCTTTGGAAACCCTCAAAAATCAGACTCAGTTACCTCATCGTTCCGATTTTCTCCAGAAACATTTTCTTTAATTATGTACATCAGCAATCTTTCAGACAATGAATAAGCGATCAGAAAGCACAAGAGACCTCAAATGTTCTATTTTTGTATCAATGTAGGATGTTAACGTTTATCTTAGATTTTCATCATTCATGCAGTCTTCACAGCTCTTACTAAAACCCCTAGTCTACATGATACAGTGTTTTTTCAATGTGTTATCTTTACATACAGCCATCAAATGTTTCACGAATTTTCGACTGTTTAACGAGTTTTACTATAAACATCAGAAACTCAGTTCGTATATTTATTAAATGGATCTTATATTTGCTTAAAAATAGCTTGATATTTTCATTACTATGTCAGTGTTTTTTCGTTGACGTTCAGCAAGACAGCTCATTGTATAACGATATGTGCTTGCTAGTGAAAACATTAAAACACACTCGATTATATTTTGTTTGACAAGTAACATTAATAGTAATAACAGTAGATGGAATCTATTGTTTTCATTGAATAACGTAATTCGGTACATATTCAATTACAATTGATTCTTCCAGAACAATTAAACTGTTCCGTTATGGGGAGTAAAATGTTGGAATTTCTTTTGAAAAATAACTTTCTTCAGCAATTAACATTAGGTCACTGATCTAAAGATAATCTACTATCCACCTGACTTGAATGTCTTGAGTTTGGTCTTGTTAAGAGGGCTGTGGTTGTTCATTGTTAAGGAGTCTCAAATGATATAATGAAAAAACCACTCAGCTTTTAATGTCCAATAACTTTCCAGCTGGTGTCAGTCGTTGCAGAAAGAAACCTTGAACTAAACGTTTACAAATCATCTAACTAGAAAAAGTTTTAACCTGGTAGTCAAAAATTTACACATATGTAATTAATTATTTATAACAAGCTTCTCACTGATATTATGCTGAGGATTTTTCAATTTTCATATCATTACTAATAGAATTGTGAAAAATTGAATGAATTACGACGTGCGAATGGATTTAAGCCGTTAAAGATTGAAGTGATCAATTTTATATATTCAGCTAAGTAAGTTAAACATACATTTTAAATGCTTTTTTCCCTCTCCAAATTTTTTCTGCCTACTTATTAAATTCAATGTATTTTTGTTTTTAGCTGTTTAATATACTTGGTTTAGATTTCTGTTTTAACTGTGTGTCTTTTTTTCAATGCTTATAAAATTACAGAAAAGAGTCTTATTCGAATATGTACAACAGTAAATCTCAATAATACATTTAAATTGAATTGATTTAACTTGGACTTGTACATGATCAAATCTTCTCTGATTGGTCTAAAGATTAGGCGTTTACGCACGAGATTGAAGGTTTTAGGTCCGATTTCCTGTCGTAAACGAATGCTGTTGAGGAGTTCTATACTAGGACGAAATGACCATCCAGTACTTACAGGTTTTTAGTCGTTGTCTAGCTGAGATCTGTTCGTGGTCTCGATAAGATTTAAACTAGATGAAGACTTTTTTCAATACTTTTTTTGACCATACACGTTAAAATGCTGGGAACAAAAATTCATTTAATATTATCAGATGTACTTTTAGAGAAAAGATCTATCGGAAATCAATAAAAGTAAATAATAATAATAATAATCAAAAATGAATGATCGAAAACATTTTTATGGAAAGGCTGTCTCTGATTCAAGTCATTTATAAAATGTGACACATGGTTATAAATTTATATAGGAACATGAATCGTAAAATGATAGAAGCCTGCTCTTATAAAATCTCAGCGTAGATTCAGATATAGTTTTTGTTGCTTTCTCATGCAACAAATTCTCATCTGTCGTGTTTATCTCCCATCTTGACCTGTGCAAATCACAGTTTCCCGTTGCAAGTACTGGTTTCTCAGATTCTATCAATCAAAATAGAAAGGGTGGGTTTTGAAATGTAAGTATATTTCACTGAACATTCTCTAAAAACACGGCACTTAGATCTATGATTTTATATTGATCGGCTGCAAAAGTTCAGGTGGAACTTTATTTCAATCAGACTAATGTCTTTGTTGGTTCTTGTGTAGTATCAAGGGAGACTATAGGAAAAAGGGTGAAGCCAAATTGTGCTGACAACCCTGAGGAAATTATTATTAGCTAATAAAAAAACTGTAGCTACAGAACAAAAATTAACTAAATTACGGTGGACAAATATTTTTGATGTGAATTGTAAACCCCATGTTGAATTATTATAGTAAGCGAAAATGGGTTAGGGTTAGAGCTCTGATTATGATTTGGGTGGGTGTTTAGAGTTGGGAAATATTTTTTAGGCTAGACCACCATGGAAAACCTGTAAGCACTGGACGGCCGTTTCGTCGTAGTATGGGACTCCTCAGCAGTATGCATCCATGATCCCGTACGCGGGACTCAGACCCAAGGCCTTAGGTCTCGCACGCGAACTCAACCTCCAGACCACTGGGCCGGAATCTAGTGGTGTTAATGTCTGACGTCAACCAGTCCAGGTTTCCCATGGTGGTCTGACTTAAATCGATACATCAATTTAACCATTAGATTACTGTGATCTCCATAAACCTCTATTCTGAGAAATATTTTTTATCCATAAAAACATCATTGACTCCGCCCTGAATCACAAGTTTGCTAATATACAGCCTACATCAGAAACATGTTTTTATTGTAAGTTTGCTCACTTGTCATGCCGCATTCAACGATGTGGTCACATAAAAGATTTTTTAAAAACGTAAACAATTTTGGGACTAGATTTAGACAATTCTTATTTAGTTTCTAATAAAATAAGTACTACCTCCAGGTGTATCGTGGACTTCGCACAAAAACCTAAGAAGTGCTATCGCAAATCTGATCAGTTTACCTAAGGTTGCCAATATGATTTGATTTTACTCAAATAATTATTGATCTGATGCGGAATTTTAATTTAATTTTATTGAAAATATTTCTGTGTAGTTAGTGCTTCTAAAAAGTCTAATTTTGCATTAATAAAAACACTTTACATCCGTGCTACATTGTTGTATTGGATGAAGGATTAGGTGAGGGGAGGGAGAGCAATGTCAATCCAATTTCAGTTGGTACGTTCTTTTTGGATGCTGTCAGAATATTTTACTCTGGAAATCTAAATCGAGAGTAGTGTTATGGCGTAAAATTCTATAGTTTGATAGATTAATTTTCGATTATTAAAATAAAACAAAAATAATTCTGATCAATAGATAATCTACAATTATACGAATTGACCGAATGATAGTTACAGTGAAAAAACTGAATTATTAACGTAAGCTACCAATTGAACTGATATCCAAAGACAAGACAGCTATCCAGTTGAATCAATCATTTTTATGTAATACAAGAAAACGACTAGATATCATAGATTTCTGGACAAAGTTCATTTTGTAAGTTTCTCATTAATCAATGATTAAGGGCCTAACTGTTAGACTTCTACATAGCATCAAATCGTTGCAGTGCAAATTTCCCATTTTGTTATCGCACCTTTGTAATGTATCTATTATTCTGGTGAAATTACTCAGCAAATTTGGGATTCAGTAGTCTAAAGATTAAGTTGTAATAAATTAAGTAATATTTTTGAGCTCCCTTCGCTTACTCTTGGATTCTAACAGACATATCTTGATTATCAATAAATATGTCTGTGTTACACTGTTGTTATTAAACTGGTATATTTTTATACTATTACTTCCTACTTTTCAACAGGATCTCCAACGAATATAAAGCCTATCCTTTTGACCTGTCGGATTTAAAGTTATGTTCGTCAAAACTTCGTTTCAATGAACTAGGCAGTCTGTTAAAACCTGTTAATAATATAACTGTAAACAATTCTTCATGTAGTCCATATTTAATTGGTTTAACAGGACCATCTGGTTCTGGTAAATCATCATTGGCTAGACGACTCGAACATTTAAGTGACCAAGTTCATGTAATCGATTGTGATCGTCTCGGTCATGAAGCATATATGTAAGTGCTTGTAAATGACATTAATTTTGAATGATTTAAAGAAATTCTTGTACAATACTGAAAAAACTACTCTCTATTTTTTAATTAGGTTGGTTGATAGTGTTTCATAACAGATAATATTCTCTAGTTTCAGTGTACTAATTTTTCGTGAATTGAAACTGGTGATAGTCAGACTTAAAAGGTTCCTAAATTAAAACATTTTAATGTTTAGGTTTGTGATTTTTAGATCAGTTTTTCCCTTACCGCTAATTTTATCTTAACAAAGTATCTCAGCAGAAACTAGGTATAAAGTGTATAATACACTCAAATTTAATAGTGTACTGTTAGAATAAGTTGAGTTCTTGCATCTAGGTAGCTGTTTCATTGCTCAGGCTAATTTGATGGACAAGATCAGGCCGAACGTAGTGAAAGCCATTTTTCTTTTCCATTTTGTGTCACCCCTTGTACCGTCACGACGTTTTTCTATCTGAAAAAGATCAAGTATGCAACACGTGCAGCTTCACCCTGTTTGTGAAACATACCCCCTCTGGGCGCTGATGACTTAGTTTTTTATCGTAGTTGATTTGACGGAATTGCTCAGATGGCGAGATTCAACGTTGTAGTTGGTTAATGTTAAGATTGTGATTAAATGTATTCGTCTTAAAACACGAGGTTCGCTGACTGGGTCGTATTTTACGCATGTCATCTAGCAGACTTCCGCTCTGAGCATCATTTACCGATGTTGTGTATGTAGTCCTGCAGATGATGTTATTCAGTCGTTTGTGAAACATTCACAAAATGGCTGACAATAGATATCTCTTATTCAGTGAACAGCTATCCATTCTGAATGGTAACCATACCTCGTTTAAAATAAAAATGTCAGTCTAATTGAAAGTTCCCAACAGTATTATTTTGTATAGGTTTATTAATCCCCTGAAGAAATTGACTTTTCTATATGAAGTATCAGTGTTTCATTTAGTAGTGACTTTTTTGTTATCGGTACTGTTTATATCATTTCCAAATATTTTGTTTTAAAAAATACCTCAAATAGATATTGCTTTTTTGTCGCTTGAATCTACAGTCCTGGTACTCCTTGTCACCAAGCTCTTTTGTCTCATTTTGGACGAGAAAGAATAGCATCCCCAGTGCCACCCTATGCAATAGACAGAGGCCTACTAGGAAGGCTAGTTTTTTCTGATCCTGCTCAACTGAAAGATCTGAATTCCATAGTTTGGCCTGAAATATTAAAGAAAATTCTAACAGTTGTAAAAGAAATAGAATGTAAAGCATTAGAACAAGATCGGGATCCTAAACGTCCGGTTATTATTATAGATGCAGCGGTGCTTTTACAGGCTAAGTGGGATGAAATGTGCCACGAGGTACGTTCTATTCATTATATTGGTTACTTTTTTTATTAACATTGCACCTTAAACAACTACTAAAGACTAAGGAGGGCTGGACAGCTGTTTCACTCTAGTATGGGACTGACTCCTCAACGGTGTGCACCAAAGACCTCGTCGGGAATCGAAACCGAAGCCTTGAGTTATTTAATTGTAGATATATTTTCGTGTCTTGAATAAATTGTATGTTATTATTGTCTTAACAGTGGCAATAAAGTATTCGTATGCGGAACCATGAAATATGGTAGTAATCAGATAACAGGGACCCTAAGATCTCTTTTCCGAGGATTTATCATGTGAATCATAGTTTTTTTGCAAGAGGCTAACCAAAATGCATGACAATAGAATTAACCAGTTCTTCTACCCTAGATCTACAGTTTAGTTAAACACACATGGGTGTTATATTAGTGGTCTAAATGTGAGTGCTGCTACAGGTACTTAGCACTAAATGTAGTGCAAATGTCAACTTAGTAGTTGATGCTGGAAAACATACGACAGAATCCAAGACACGGTCCGGCCTGCTAGGGGGTCGCCACGTTTATTGACTAATAAACAGATGAACGGCCCATAGTTGACCAAAGACGTTCAGAATGTGTGGAACTATTTCAACCTCAAATTTTTTCAATTTTCAGGTATGGTTAACACTTTTATCCCAAACAGAAGCTCAGCGCCGGCTGTGTGAGAGAAACAATTTAAGTCCGGAAGCAGCATCAGAACGTCTAGCACGACAAGCTTCTGCTGTTGCTGAAGTGACCGGTGGGTACACTTGGTTTGAAGCAGGTCAGTATTGTTCTCAGAAAAGTCCTATCGACTATGCTCATGTAATTCTAAGTACAGAATGGGACCCAGAATGTTCGCAGTACCAAGTTGAAAAGTCCTGGAAAGCGTTACAACAAAGGTTAGAGTTAACTACAACAACCCAATGAGTGTTTGCTATCACGAATTTGCAATTTCTTATCTGCTAATTTGACGCTATGTATTCAATTGGTTGAGTTTTTATAATGAATTTCACTTATGGAACAAACATGATTTCTTAGTTAGTTGGACTTTTTCTATCAGTCGATATTTCTATGACCGTGCATAATAAACCATTATTATTTTCGATTGGTTTTGGTTTAATTGCAAAAGACACTCTACAATCAGGAGGATGTTTTTCACACAATGAGCATTGTTCTAAAAGAGATCGTATTTGTTGAAGGATAATATTGTTTTAGTCGGTTATTGTGAATCTGTTTGAAAAATCAGATACAGTTTTGGTTTCTAGACTAAAATTCCATTCAGCTAAATTTCATGACATGTGGTTATAATTGTCTAACCGAAACTCTTTATCTTGTCGGTGGGAATAACCGTATTTGTCTCTGTAAATCAGTGAAGTTATAGGACACTAGTTTAAGGTCTTACTAGACAGCTAAGTTCGCTTAAAGAATAGGGAACTTACAGGCAACTGTCGTAGGGTTGAGTTATCACGTTTTGATGGGGTCCAAGAATGAGGTCATACTATGGATCGGATATGAATATAGTGCTTTCTCCCGGCAAATGGTAGTCCTAATGGTATTTTCTGATTCTGAAAAAGAGGCGACAAAGACCATCTCGTGGTGTTCGCTTAGATAATCATTTATTCTCAGATAGCGTCAACTCTAAGCACAAAGAAATAGTAGCAACCGAAACCAAGTAATGTCTTAACTCATTTAAATCACATTACTATTAGTGACCATCAGGAGAAAGAGCTACCACTTGGTTTCGAAATAAGGTTAAGTAAGCTAGGTTGGTAGTTATGAGAGTATTGAGTTACTTTGGTCCTGTTGAAGGGTTTAGCACCATTTCTGTGTTAGTTACTGGGCCTTAGGCTTTGCCTGTAGGTTTCAAAATGCTTAGGATTCACACTCGTCAGATATATAGTAGGAGTTTATATAAGTTTGAGGAAACTATGCAAGTTTCAGATGTTATCAGTCAGATTATTGTTGTTTTGTGAGCACAGCTTCGTGTCCTCTACATGGACCATATTTTTCCACATCAAGATGGTATTCCACTTTTTCAGCTGGGAGATGACGTATAAGTGTCTGACTCGAGTGTCGATGAAACATGTGATTCCTAAGTATTCACTCGAACATATGATATAAGGGATGGTTTACAGTATTCTTTTTTCGTACGTATATTACGACAATACGTTCATAAAACTAATCACGTTATATTAGAACCAGGATTCGCGACCTAAACAGAGAACCAGATTAACACCAGAGAATACTTTATTCAATACAATTATAATCAGTCACATACAGTGAGTCCAGAATAGAAACCAACGATCAGAAGAATAATCACATATTTAATAGTCCGTAGGTTATAGCTGTTTGTCCACATTCAACGACCAATCATATGTTACCTTCACCATCACACATCAATATAATGCTAAAATCTGAGCTAACGACAATGAGTAGTAGCAATAAATAAGTTCATTGTTATAATTCGTTTAGATAATCCTGTCAGAGGCGGGTATGTTTGCTTTCAGTTTCGAGGATTTAGATCTTTTAGTTAGAATAATTATCTGTTATACAAAAAAAGCTAAGACAACATAGGGGTTGGCGCGTCGTGAGAAATAATCCGACATATATCCTATACTTGCGAGACGTGGTTTTATCATTCTAACTTACTGATTGAACATTTATTTTGAGATGACATGGTCCAGTTTTTTCGTAATTATTCATTTTCAACATTAAAATCGGATTGCGTTTAAAACATGCTTGTTGAGGATGGATGAAAAACACAAACACTTGAGCACACATGTATTTAAAATACCGTCGCGTGTAGTGGAACTACTCATTTCGAGACGACATACAGTTTTTGTACAATAAGAGTAGATTTCTTGATGTTCAGAGCTTTCTATAACTCAAGTGGTCGTGAAGTGTGTTACGATTGCTGAGTCATTGCTTTTTTAATGTTGCGAAGTGTACTAACACACGCATAATAGCTCGAAGTGCTAAGCCTATATATTGTCTTACTCACTGTACCCTGATGGTTTACGGGAGGAATATTTAAATTTCTTTGAATAGCTTGGCTACATAACTGGACAATAATTCAGAGTGCAGGTATATCTCCCTAAAATATAGAGAAATATGGCGATTTTACATCGAAAAACTAAGGCCAGTAGTATTTGTAAAACAGTTTCTCAATAATGAGGCAATCTTTTAGAATATATTTTTAGAAACTTAATGGATATTACTTCTGGTAGCGAATAAAACATGAACAACCACATACTAAGAAGAAAATTGTCGACTGAGTTTACCATTTATGTTATTAACATGTTAATTTTAGCTGAATGAGATGGCTACGTCAAAATAAATGAAAATAACATGCATTTTTCGTATTAATGCAAAGATTCATTGCGACAGAAAAACTAGTTATACTTATAATAAACGAGGCTTTCCAATTGATATATCTGAGTCAAGATAATTCGGTGAAAAGTAGTAGGTCATTAGATGAAATGAGATATTTAAAATATGTTACACATAGGCATACCTCTTGCGTAGAAACCTAGTGATTGTTTCAACAGTTGTAAACTATGAGAAAATCCAAAAGTTTGACTTAGCCGTTACACAACTCATAACGTGGTTGTATATTTTCTTTAACATTATAAACTGAAAAAAAAGTACTCATAGAGATTCGTACGACAATAGAAGCGGATGATTTGAAACTGACATCATTATAGGGATTCACTATTTATCTAGCTCTAAATCATAAAACTAACAGATCAATTTCTCATAATTAATTTTGCAGTTTTTTTCCAAAATATGTCGAAATGAACCAATACACTTGTTGTGCTGGGTTGTATTTTATTAATTTAGATTAGGAAAAATGACTGGGACCATTAAATAATCAAAAATACATGGAAAGAAAATACTATGGGAGTTTCCGTTTTTGGTAAAATATAAACCTATTTACAAGAGTTTAACAAATTGCATAGGGATTACAAATAAAAACAATTAACAACATTTAAACTATTATTGCGTTACCGAAAGCCACCTCATATATATAGCTGCATCAAAAAAAAGGAAGTGAAGTGATGTTAACATAATTAATAAAGCAAGTTTAAGTAATTTAGCAAAAATATGTTCAATCTAATGTGGATGTAATTTTAATTTGGTAGTTTGGATAGGTTGAAATACACCTTAGCTAGGGTAATCAAGTAAATAGAAAGTAAAGAAATATGAATGGATGCATGCGTTACTGAGTGTTTAAAAACTTATTTGAAATAAATTAATGGTGATTTACTTCATTGTTATTCTTACTATTAGTGATTGGGAAGGTGAGATAAAGTTAAAACTATATCCATTTACCGCTTTACACAGCTGAACACCCAAACACCGACTTGTGTGTATAATAATAAGATTAACAATTAGTTGGAGGCAAATCAGGCCATACTGGATCACTGTCAATATTAGGAACTGAACCCAAACTTGGATCACTTGTTTGTTGTATATTTTGGTATGACAGACCATGCTGAGGTCGTACCGATGGACTACCTGACAGAGTAATGATACCACCCCCTGTAGTTATTTGACCACTTGGATAACGAATTATATGTGACTCATTTCCTGTTATATAGGCAGAAACGTTTGTATCTCTACACGATCTAGGCGTCCCAACATTTTCATCATCTTCTTCTGTGACATCTGTAAAATGTGCTGAAGGTATTCTGCGTCCATCTGAAGGCGTTCTAATTATGCCAGGCTCACAAGATGGTGAGGTGGGGTAAAGAGAACCACGTTCAACTGTATTTCTTGATTCTGGTAGAGTGGCTGAGTTACTAGTAAATGTAGTCGGAGCAAATGAAACATGTGGCAACTGATAACTAGGTAAGTATCCAGATGTAGAGTAAACACCTACACCTAGTGGGTTTGATGACTGTGTAGAGGGAAAAGTTTGATTGTTTCCGGGATCGGCACCAGGAGTACTACCTGTCATACCACGCTGTGAACTATAGCCCCGACTTGAATCGTGGTTCTGTCGTTGTTGCCGTCTTCTATGGAAAAGCTCGTGAATATAAAGAGCACTTACTGACATGTCTGCTGTTAGTACGTCAGTTACTGTACAGCGGCGGCCTCCTACACTTCCAATGAGGCTATTATTAAAACCAGTATGCTGGCTTAAACCATCCTCGATCTGTGAATTATAAGGTTGGTAAAAAGGAAGACCCATATTATCAGCAGAATGCAGTGCTGATGCTGCCATCAAGCTCATGGTTATAGGTGTAGGTCCATCAAGCATAGAATAATTAAATACGGCTGGACCAAGCTGAGATCTAATCATTTCTGAATTAGGTTTCTGTGGCACCACATTAGTTTCTGGAGAAATCTTTGCAACGTTGTAACTGGTACATGATGGTAATGTATTAGTACCACTATCACTATGAGAAACCTTTCTTACATTAGGTTCTGGCACTTGAGGTTCACGGAGATTGGAACCGGAACGATACATTGACTGAGATCCTGAACTTCTCATAGATTCAGCCATAGCTCCTACAATACCATAGGTATTTTCAGATAGTAGTCCAGAACCTGGTAAATGAGAAACATTTTTCAGGACACCTGAACTTTCAATACATGGTGCATTGGGAAGGTGAGGGTGTGTACTTCGATATATACTAGTCATTGCACTTTCTTGTGTTCCATACAGAGTTGAGAACATTCCTGAGGTTGGTTGTGAAGTAATTTTCGAAGTTTGAGTATTATTTTTGCAACTATCTTGGAATTGCTCTAAATGCTGTTGTTGTTGTTGTAAGTCCAATAATGCTTGATTTCTGATTGATTTCAGATAAGCCAAACCATCAGGTGGAAGTCGCCAAGATGGGTTAGTAAGATGGAAATGCATAAGACTAAGTTCAATTTTACCACCAGCAGCACTGTGTTGAATTGAATCACCATGATTAGTTTGTACAGTATTTTCGTTCTGTTCATTAGAGTTATATGCTGGAGTTATCTCTTCTGCCCGTTTACTAGACCTGATAGTTTTCCTCGAACAAGAGTGAATTGCATTTGTATGATCATCATTATCTGTTTCACTTTGATCGTCACCGCTACTTTCTGTATTTGGTTGCCACATTGGATCACCATGACGGCGTATATCCAGCTGTGCAAAGCTGCACACATCTCCAACACCAGGAACTTCAACAGTATAATTTCGAAGAAAATCAACAACTTCGAGAGTATGGTTAGGAAGAATAAAAATAAGAATTAAAGGTGTAATAATTGGTGAAAATAACTCTTCCAATAGACCTACCATACGATACTGAAACAATTGTGAAAATTCCGACCTCACTTGATGCGTGCCAGCTTGTTCTTTCCAATGATCTGGCATGTAATGGATACGCATCAAGGTTGAAACTAATAAATTACGCGGACAATAAACCATATTCTCATCTGGAATCAACGAAAGACATGATCTAGCCAATAAACCACCACCAACTAGTATAGCTAAATATCCAGGCAAATGGATCATTTGTTCACGTATAAGACCAGCAATAAAAAAGGCTACTGAAGCACCACCGAAAATAAAAGCTCCTGACTCAGCTAAAACTGTAAGTGGTCGTGATACAAAACTATCAAGATATCGAGAAGCTGGAATATATGCTTGTTTCAAACGTGTTTCAAATTCATGTTGAAGTTCATTGAAATGTCGTAAATACAAGCGGGCATAATTAGACCAACGACGTCCAAAAAATGTAGATGGTTGATATCGAAAACGTTCTGCATGAGCGCATATAAACGTTACTAATTGAGCAATGAAGATTACAGGAGCCATAAGAAGATTGATCAATCCAAGAATACGTATACGAGTAGCTAGTTCAACAGCTAATTCATGACGTTTAGTAACCCATTTATAATCAGCTCTCAACTGCCAATAATTATGAAAAGGTGACCATGGTGTCCAAAACAAGATAAGTTTCAAATTAAGTAGATAACCATCAGGTAAATAAACTATTTGAGGATTTAAACTAGAAGGTATACGAAATCTGATAGGAATAATATCTTGATTAATCATTGCAATTAAATAATTTTTATGCCGAAGTATACGATTATATATATCTAATTCATCTAAATTAACTTTGTATGCACAAAATTGAAAATCACACTGTGATTGAAGTAAACGTTGTTGTACTTCGGACCATGTTAAATCAGCTAATCCAACATCACTAGATGGCATATTTAATATATAGGTACAAAACCGTCGAATTTCCCAAAATCTACTTAATCGAATACTAACAAATATGATTTGAACTATAATTGTTATCACAGAACCAACAACTAGAAGTGACGCAAAAAATGGTAGTGAGGCCCAACATTGATTCGGTGGTTGAAAGATATCAGTCCAGTTTTGAACAAATATACTGCTATTTGTTAAATAACTCCATCTTGTGCATACAGATAATTCGATTGTGATAAAAATGACAAATATGAATTTAACGAGCCATAATATTTGAGCCAAAAGAATCACCTGAACAAAATAAAGTGATTAATACATATATAATTGACAAATGGCATAGTATTTTAAGAACGTATCGACTATTTACATTATCATATGACTTTAAAAGACTCTAAAGCTTAGTAAAATTAATAGTAAACAATAGGACAAGAAAAAAAGCAATTAGGAATTATTTTCTACTAAACTTCCACTAAATGAATAAAACACATAACAATACATATATACATAGAATTTATTATTGACAAATTGGATTTTAACAATGATAAAGTTTTTACTTAGGCTTATATCAACTAGGTGAATATTGTTGAGGTTAGTTTTTATCATATACAGATATTAGCTGGGGGACCAGTGAAAACTAGGAAGTACTAGATTACAATTTTTATCTCAGTTTATAAGTATCGTACTACAGTGCGCATCTAAGATGCTATTAGGGAAAAAATCTTAAGTATGCCTGTTCTTCATCATTTAACGAAAAGTAAATATGTACTCGAAGCACTTATGTTTCTAGCTGAAATCATTCTGGTTTTTTCAAAACTCAATAAATCTCATTTCTAAACAACCATCCATTTCTATTTATCACTATCGCCTATAACAGGTGAACTAGATCTCTTTATGAGTATATTTAGGCCTAAAATATGGCAAATTACAAATAAGAAACTTTTAGTATCTTAGGGATCACATACCTTTGGAATGAATCAACATCTTTTTCTTATAACGGTGACTTGTTTGAAGCAACACAAGTAGAACAAGAGAATGCTCGACGGATGCCCACCCCGACGAGGGGTAGGCTAGAAGAAAACGAGGGGGTCAAATAAAAAATGACACCAATCCATGAAGTGTACATTACCTGGTTGGTATCTGTGTGGTTCTCGTAACCAGTAGTTAGAGAATTTCAAAGACATGGTTCGAGATCATTTGCAATAGCATAGGTGCATCCGTTCTTTATCTTCCCAGGATTCTGAGCTTCTGAATTTTGCATGATTTTTTTATTTCAATAATTTTTATTTTATTGAATCGCATCTTCGATACCTAATCTTTTCTATCACCACTGATACTATTATTACCTCAACTACTGAGATTTGCCTTAACAATTTGACCTCGCTGTACTAATGGACTATTGGCAACTTGAACCGATGTACATATGTGCAAGGTTCCACATTGAGTTTTACTGACTGAGAACTAGGGTATGAGAAAACGTTCGTAAATTTCATGTCAAGTCTCCCCTCAAAAGTATTCATATAAACACTTTAAATAAACAGAATAACGGATAAAACCTACACATAAAAATTAAGCTCAATATACACTATTAAATGGCGGATCTTCCGATTAATGAACATGACACAGGTACATAAATCGTTAAAGAACAAAATAATCGACGTTAATATAAACATTTTGATTTGAAAATTGAAATGAGAGAAGTTTATTCGAAGTTATCTGTATGAGTATTGAGTCAGTTTGACATTATTCTAATTCGGAACGGGGAATTCAGTTAGGGTACAGTAAAGGTATAATAAGTACAATGATAATGCAAAGTTACGTAGTATGACGATAACTACAAATTATCTCTATAAGTATCACTGCAGTTTATGGTTTTCACAAAGCCTTTATAACAAAATATCCCATTCATAATTAGTCTATCAGAATATACAGGTCATATCACTTTAAATGAAACAAATGAATATAAATAAAAGGTGCTATTGGAGGTAGCCAGAAAACATTGGAATTAACAAATATTAAAAAAGTTAAAGCGCTTGTCATAGGGTAAAGAAAATGCTAAACTCAGTGCGATGTTTAAGTAAGGGTGCAGTAAGATGGCTTTGTGTGTGGAGGTCAAAGTCGAGTATTCTTAAATTTATACTACAAGCTCTACACTGGGGATTTAAAACAGTGCATAATGCTTGACAATAAAAGGTTTTGTATTGATTATAATGATGTTAGGGAAAATGAACTACATAAAGGTGACGTAAACTAAATGATGGACGGTGTGATGAGCTCCAAGCCAGTGAAATTATTAACATAATCTTTTTAGAGATTCCAATAATTTGACGACCTAGATAATTTCGTGGACTTGGAGGCTGGTATTTGTGGGTTTCCTGGAATATCTAACAACTACGTTTCAGGTGGAAGTGATCAATACAGATTTCGAAAAAAAACACGCCGTTAAATTTAATTCTGAGTTATGTCTGATAACATCTAAAATCACTGAGTGGGATGATCTTTAGGACCGCACTTAGGAAGTCATGATATGTCAACAACTGAGAATCCAATACAACTATCGTTTAACCCTCGATGCTACTGTTACCCTACCATTGTTTAGCTTTTCTCACTGTCCTAGTATCACGAAATAATGAACAATAATGAAGTTGATGAAGCTCTGTGTTCAAAATGTATTCAGGACAGTGCGACCAGTTTCAATATTACGTTAATCACTGAATAAGCTGCCACTCAGTCAGTCAGCAACAACGTAGAACTTCGTACGTACATTAGTTCGAGTTGCCATACCACATTAGCACAGAGATGCAGATGTCGATTCAAATCCCATACTAGTAGAGGTAGTAAAAGTATAAGCAGTAATCGGAAACATAAGGGTTTGAAGATGTTATTCAAGAAGTATAATCCAGTGAAATAAAGTTGGAGAGAGAAAAAAGGAACATGAAGAATTCAGAACACTAGAATTTGGGAGAACACAAATAGTGGATGCACCTGCGCCATTGTAAACGATTTTGAGCCATGTCATTCAACGTCTCTAATCATCGGTTGCTATCATCTCGCGGATCCCAACCAGGTCGTCTGCACCTATCAACATGACTCAGTCCACTTGCCAGTGACTTCATGGACTTGTGCCATGTTTTGGTCTGGCCACCCCTAGCTTTCTTCCAACCTACTCTTACACCATAAGACATCGCTCGTCGGGGCATTCGGTGGTTGGGCATACGTAACACATGTCCCAGCCATCTCAACTGGTGAAGTTTCATTACTTCATCAATCGATTTGCCATCCTTACCTAGTACCCGTTTCCTAACAACTGCGTTACTTATCCAGTGGTCCCAGGATATACGAGGGTGACACCAATTGCATTATCTTCTCTGTGCCCAAACACACGATGCCGAACCTCTGCATTGCCCACATGGTGTTGCCACTTTATGTCAGCAATGCTTCAGAGACAACGATGACCAAACACAGAGAGTTGTCTAACATCCTCAACTGGGAGAGGCCAGGTTTCACAAGCATAGAGCAAAACTGCTCTCACCGACGTGCTGTAGATCCGACCTTTTCCGGCCAGACTGACATCACGAAGGCGCCAAAGGTGGCCCAGATTGGCATAAGCCGCTCTGGTTTTCCCTATACGTGAATCGATCTCACCACTCATGCCACCACCAGCACTTATGCAGCTACCTAAATACGCGAACTTATTGACTACTTCTATCTGCTCACCATCCAGGGTAAGCACAGGATTAGAATCCTGCCAGTCTTGTAGAAGTACTTTGCACATCGAAGGTGCAAAGCACATACCATACCTACGGACATTGATTGCCAACTGATTGGGTGCGGATTGCATGGCTTTGGTATTATCGCACAGTAAGCAAATATCATCCGCATACTCAAGGTCGATGAGTCTTTCTTCAGGCAATAGATCCAGACCGCCATTACTTACATCCATCAGAGTTGTTTCCAGAATGTCATCGATGGCAAAGTTGAAGAAGAATGGTGAGATTGGGCAACCCTGTCTAACCCCACTGCTTGAATGGGACAATGGAGAAAGGTGGTTGTATGCCCTCACTCTGCCTGTGGTGTTTGTATATAGGGCTTTTAGGATGTCCTTTCTTATAAACTGGCACAATCATTGATTGAAACCAGTCAGATGGGATTACACCCAGTTCCAAGATTCTACATAAGACATCAGTCAGTCGCACAGTTAATACTGGATCACCATCCTTAAAAATCTCAGCGGTAAACCTGTCAGGGCCTGCTACTCTTCCACGCTTCAGATTTCCTATAGCTTTTTCAACTTCGTAAAGAGCTGGAGGACTTACATCAACTTGACATTCAGGTCGACTGAAGATCGTGGGGAACAGAAGTGTGACTGGAGGCCAGTTGAACTGATCCCTAAAAAGTTCTGTCCATAGTTTTGCTAGCAGTTAGATTCCTAATACCGATTTCCCTCACAAGTCTGAAGAGTTGTTTGCTGTTACCTATTGCCGCAGCCTTTTCCATCTCTTGCTTTCGCTACCCATCACTGCTCGCGACCATTGAGTAGGCTTCTTGTCAGCATGCGCATAAGCTGACTCCGCTCTTCGTCACGTTCACAGCCAGATGGGATGAATTTTCGAGCATCTATCAGTGCAGTAGATGATGCCGAGATTCAGTGTTTCTCCCTGACCTTATGGTTTACCGTACTAGTAGATATCATTGCTGTTTCCACAGCTTTTCGAATATCATTTCACACTGCCTCGGGGTGGGCATCACCCACATGGCTGCCTAACTGTTTTCTAGTTGTTCCTCAAGTACACTCTTAGCTTGACTATCATTAAGTAGGACCCCAAGAGTTTTCCTTGCAGTGTCTTTCCTACGTCCAGTAAGAAGTAGAAAAATACGCGCTTACATAGAGCATGATCTGAATCTAAGCATGTGTTCCAGAACGAGCGACATTCTTCTATCGAGCCCCTTCATCGGTGGCTGATAGTGATGTGATCTATTTGGGTCCAACGTTGTGACGTATTCGATGGTCGCCATGTCGAAAGATCTTTTTCCTTTTGCCTAAAGTTAGTATTTGCAAGAAACAGGCGGTTATCTGAGCATAGCTGTAACAGACGGTCGCCATTATTTGTTTTTTGAGCCACGACACCATAAGATCCATCCAAGTGTCTTTCCTTTTTGCTTAGTTTACCTACTTGAGCATTAAAGTCACCAGCCACTATTACTACATCAGAGCACCTAACATTTTGGAAGAGATCAGAAAGCTTTCTTTAAAACTCATCATCAGCTGCCACTACGTGAAAATATACGCTGTATAACCTCAGTATCAAGTAAATGATATCGACACAGAGTGGAGGTACTTTCTTCGATTCACTGACAAAATACAGAGTTGTAAAACATTCTGTTATTGGAGTTCTCATAAGAACTAAGAAGTACTGCTTGGACTGTAACGATATAATTCAGAATGATATCGCGACAGGGATAGCCACAGTTGGTTTAACTCACTTTGACTTTGTTAAGTGTATTTATTTTGTGTTTCATAATCACTAACAGTCGCAAAAATTATCCAGTTGCACGATCTACTTGAATATTCTCGAATGCTAACCAATAAATATCAGAGCAAGAAGTCTTCTTTTTATTCTGTAGAAAAGCTTTACACTCGGACAGTTCTAAGTGTGTCATATTAACGGATACTTTTAACGGACTAAGTGCAAAGAGGATAGCCTGTGTGATTATACAGCAAAATAAAATAACCCATATACAAAACACTTCCTATTGGGACTTGGATCCAAATTATTACTACCAAATAGTTCCATTAGGGTTGTTTCCAGAACATTGTCCATGAGAAAATGAAAGGGGAATAACGCAAGCGAACAACCCTATCTAGCTTTATAAAGACAGATCATTTAGTCCGGTAGCACTTTAATACATGGACTTACTATTAGACATTTGGTTAGAAAGATAAGTTGATATTACCTATTCATGATGGGTTATTTTTAATGATTGGAGCAATGGATACGCCTTTCTACGTAATAAAGTGCTCCTCTTAGTTCTTCAGATGTTTTTAAAGATTATTAATAAGGGTAACAATAATCGAAGAAATTGCCTGACACGTTTTCTGATGTCAGTGGGTTGAACATACGTTAATGGCTTACGTCAGTTACGACAGGTAACCTTTCCTACTACTTCATTAGCGTTTAGGCCACCGAATTTCGTAGGTTTCGTATAGTGTTTTGTTAGGCGGGATCACGTACATTGTTGCACTCACGATCGACCGAAAAAGACAGGCGGGCGCCAGTACGTTTTAAAAAGCCCACATAAACCAGATTTATGATGAAACTGCAGTTGATGGCCATCTTAAATATAGATAGGCAAATATGTGAATGACTAGTCAGTCACAATTTTAGCATCAATACAATGAATTATAACGAATAGTGAGTTGACGAAATTGGCATCAACGGTAAATGTGAACTTAAACAAGGTAAAACCAAACTTTCTTCAGTATTTATAGGGCATCAGGATGTCAATATAGGTTAACATGCAACAGGGATAGGATGTATAAACTCAATAAAAATAATCTTTGTATAATGGTTCTGATACAATTAGCTGTGAATATAGTGTCAGTTGGTGAAGAGTCGGCTGAGAATATTAACTTCTTATTCTAGCAAACTGATATTTTGCAAAGTCAATGTGAAAAACTGTGTCGTAGAGTATATGAAAATAAGTCAGTTTAAGGTGATGTGACAAGAATAAGTCCCGGAGACTTCATTTTGCTGGCAAAGTTAACGAAAATCAGTAAATTCTGAGAGCATTGATAGTGTTAATATAATCGTTTCAGTTATATCAAGACCAAAACGATAGATCCTTGCATTGAGAATAGATTCAACATGAAGGGATGGATTCTCTTTCCTACTGTTATAGAATACACCAGATATGAGCAAACACTTTGTGATACTTATCGGGATGTACTCAGAAATACAGTAAGACTAATTAAACTTACAGTGAAACCCCCACTCTGATGATATTTGTAAATGTCCGAGAAAAACTGATCCAAATTTTGGATATGATCCCATGCTCCTTTTCTGTTCTGAAAACTCTGAGTTCCTCTTAGATTTGGATCTGGGTGTGAATGGTCATACTCATTAACCAAACACTCATATTTCCCTTGGCCAACGGGAAACATCTTGGCTCAAACTAACATCGTAACAGCGCCAATGGAATTGACAAGGTCGTTTGGGGACAAAATAGTGAGCCTTCGATTTTCAATTTTCAGAGATGTGTAGAGCACGTTAGTATATCATTTTTCCAATCAAATGCCTAACTGATGGAAATTTTGGCACAAGTCTGCTGAACAGAATTTTCGAAAACGTAATATATTTCCGACGGATGAGTACTCATTTACTGACGTATGTTACCCTTCATGGAGGTGCATAGGACACTTAGTAAGATTTCCAATCGAACTATATTTTGGGCAATTTCTCCTAGTTTTAACTAGTTGCCATTCGTTCTATGAATGCTTGCCTCCAATTCCCAACTAAGTATGTTCTTTGCTTTTCCTCTTTTCTTTTTACCTTTAGGATCCCATGTCAGAGCTTGTCTCTCTATGTAGTTTAATGATTTTTAAAACGTATTTCCTATCCACCTCAAGCGACCTCTTCTAATTTACTCTTTACTTTGAAGTTAGTTTGTCCTATCCCACGTTAGGCTGTTGCTGATGGTATCCGACTAACGAACAGTGAGCGCACGCTGTGAAGGAAAGCTTTCTCATCGATGTCAGTAGGTCTTTGGTAAAAATAAAATTACATTGAATCATTAAAAGCAAGGAGGGCAAAGTAACCACCAATATTTACGAACAACGAAACAGGTGGGTAGAACACTTCGAAGAACTCTTGAATCGACGAGCCATACTGAACCCACCCAATATCAAAGCAGCACCCACGGACCTCCCAATCATTGGAGAAATCAGCATGGCCATCAGGTACATCAAGAGTGGCAAAGCAGCAGGACCAGACAACATTCCAGCAGAGGCACTAAAAGCAGACGTAGTGGCAACTGCAAGGATACTCCACATTCTCTTCAATAAGATTTGGGATGAGGAACACGTGCCAACAGATTAGAAAGAAGGACTTCTGATCAAAATAGCGAAGAAAGGTGATCTCAGCAACCGTGATAACTAAAGGGGCATCACTCATCTTTCAATACCGGGAAAAGTCTTCAATAGAGTATTGTTAAACAGGATGAAGGACTGCGTAGACGCCCAACTTCGTGACCAACAGTCAGGATTCCGTAAGGATAGATCGTGTACAGACCAAATCGCAACTCTACGGATCATTGTGGAACAATCGATTGAGTGGCATTCATCACTCTACATCAACTTCATTGACTACGAAAAAGCATTTGATAGCGTGGACAGGACAACATTATGGAAGCTTTTTCGACACTACGGCGTGCCTCAGAAGATAGTCAATATCATACAGAATTCCTATGATGGATTACACTGCAAAATCGTGCATGGAGGACAGTTGACAAAGTCGTTCGAAGTGAAGACTGGTGTTAGGCAAGGTTGCTTACTCTCACCCTTTCTCTTTCTCCTGGTGATCGACTGGAAAATGAAGACGTCAACATCTGAGGGAAGCATGGAATACAGTGGATAGCTAGAATGCATTTGAATGATGATCTGGCTCTTCTATCGCACTCGCAACAACAAATGCAGGAGAAAATGACCAGAGTAGCGGCAGACTCAGCAGCAGTAGGTCTCAATATACACAAAGGGAAAAGCAAGATTCTCCGATACAACACGACATGCACCTATCAAGTCACAATTGACGAAGAAGATTTGGAAGATGCAAAAACCTTTACATATTTGGGCAGCATCATTGGTGAACATGGTGCAGATGTGAATGCGCGGATCGGCAAAGCAAGAGTAGCGTATTTACAATTGAGGAAAATCTGGAACTCAAAGCAACTGTCAACCAACACCAAGGTCAGGATTTCAATACAAACGTCAAGACAGTTCTACTGTATGGGGCGGAAACCTGGAGAACTACGAAATCCATCATCCAGAAGATACAAGTGTTTATTAACAGTTTTCTACGCAAAATACTCCGGATTCATTGGCCAGACACTATTTTCAACAATATACTGTGAGAGAAAACAAACCAGATCTTAGCGGAGGGATGAACCAGGAAGAAGCGCTGGAAGTGGATAGGACACACATTGAGGAAAGCACCCAACTGTGTCACAAGGTAAGCCATCGTCTGGAATCCTCAATGCCAAAGGAGAAGACCAAAGAACACATTACGCCGAGAAATGGAAACAGACATGAGAAAAATGAACTAAAATTGGATAGAACTGGGAAGGAAGGCCCAGGACAAAGGGGGGTTGAAGAATGCTAGTCGGTAGCTCCATTGGGAGTAACAGGCGTAAGTAAGTTATTTTTGGCATGGAAGGAAACACGTTCCACTACTTGTTGCAGTGTATATGTTAATAAACGACAACAAACATTTAAGGGTGCTTAGTATTGCAATAACTAGATTCATGTATCTTAAGAAGTCACTTCGTATGCTAAAACGGTTAAATAAACGAGTCAAGTATTGAGATGAAAATATAGGTAATTGTGGACACAATTTGCCTCTGTATTGGCCGAATAAGCATTCTACAGTGATCAAAACTTGTCCACTCACTAGTTGGACACATTTTTCTGTTTGTATAAAAGAAGTAAAATCTGTCGCACAAGTATTTTTTTAAGTTATTTACTTATTGATAATCGGTAATGTTTGTTGAATACCTTGTTATAGTACTTTAGTTATTATAGTGTTGACTACGACAATAAGTTTTTTACCCCATCAATCCGAGTTCTTCTATTAACATTGGGATATACCAAATTCTTTGCAGTATTTGGAATAATTAAATCCGGCAACTCTTTAGAAACGATTTATTTTAAAGAAAATATTACTGTCTTCTTGTTCTCTTCCTAATAAACAATACAATCTATACATAGTTCATAAAAACAAAAATCAAGAGTTAGGTGATATCAAATAGTCTGCTGTAGATTTTAACAAGTTTCTAAATATATATTTTATTCTTTGATTCATTCTGTCTACTTCATTCAATAATATTCGTGAATTATTTACATTGGTTTGGTATGTTCGTATCTTGTCAATTTGATCATTGATTATTGAGTCATCTTTTAGAGAATCATCTATTTGTAAGTCTATTGGTTGTATGAATCTAAATTGAGCTGCGCTTAAAAAATCTGATTTGTATTCCAAAAGATTTCTTGTGTAGGACAGGATATGATTCTATAAAAAAGGTAGAACTTATAAAAACTTTTCGAAATGTATATATTATCAATTAACGTAAGGAAAAATATATTATTTGAACGGTTTAAAGCATACCACATTTGTTCAGTACATATAAATTAACATTTTAATTGGACACATTTATCTCTATCAGTCGTGTACCATTGTTGTATCGATTCCCACAATTATTTGACCGTATTTAATTTCGGTTAGTAAACATGTTAGCGTACAAGTTCACTCATCGGTAATACAGCGTTGTTAACAGTTGAAGTAAGTTCCCGTCATGGACTTGTATCATTTTGAAGAATCGCTTAAAACTCAAGAGCGCTGAACAGATGTTGTTTTACTTTGGATTTGTTTGTCGTACAAATGACTACACACATATTACTTTTCTAAGGGTTTAACCACGGACCTCCGTGTTATATAGTCGTTCGGCAAAAAGGTAGACTTTAATCATATTATCTGTCATACTGAACGTATATCTATATCGAAAGACTTATCAACGAGCGTCGAATTGTCTATCGAAATCCTTGAAGGTGAACGAATTGGTTTGGCGTGGTCAGCAAAAGATAGAAATCAGTCTCACTCTGTCTGTCATTCATTTTCTTTATTCCCACTTGAATATCACTCAGTCGTCCAAGATTTGGAATGAATTCTACTAAAGTACGTAGTACCTTAAACTGGTGTAGCTATTAGGTTCCAAACTTCCGAGTATTATCAAGTTCCAATTTTACGTTGATAACATCAAAATATGACCGGTATTATCAGAAGATACTGATATAAGGGGACTCCAGGCCGACCTCGATGTCCTGGAAAGCCGATATGAGTTATAGTTTGTGTTTGCTGATGTGTCTGAATGTATCTACATACACATTAGTCACGCAGATGGCAATTACAATAATATTGGGAAAACGTCAGCTCATTTAGTTCTAAATTACTATAATTTACAAATCATAGTTTGTCTTGGCCTTAAGATCACAGATCACTGTCTTTTGGCTGGAGCAAAGGGGTTTGGAGCCGTTTATGATGAAGATTTACTTTGACCGTGCTGCATACATATATAATTAACACCATTCACATAACCCTAGGGATTTTTAAATTGGGAAGTGACTCAGATATCATGAAAAAAGTACAGAAGACATCTACCCGATCAGTTCCGGAGTTGCGTGTCTTACCACGCATATTGCTGCTTGATAATTTAGAACATGGATTAAGAGATGATTTGATTATGATATTTAGGTTACTGAGAAATGATTTTGGGTGAGATATATTCCATCTTTTCCTTCCAGCTAAGTCAATACAATACAGAGGAGACAGCAGCCGATTTCAAAAACCAAGAACAAACAAAGTCTTTACCACGAGCGCTTTTTCCATACCATTATCTTGTCATAGTACTTTATCAGATTCCATATTGAGTAATCACCTAGACTGGATTTTTTTCCCAGTATACAAATTTACTTTTACATTATCTACGACTCTGTAATATATCAATAATTGAAACAATTTTTCTTGAACTAAACGTACCTGCAGATTATCCGACGTTTTGATTAAAACACTACATAATTCATTAATTCGATTGAATAACTCCACATTACAATGTGTAAGATTTTCTGGGAAATTTGGCAATAAACTAATTTTCATTTTATAACGATAGGATCTTTCTAATTTCCAGTTGAAGTTTTCTAAGTAAAATATTATCAAAAGGATATAATATAAATAAATTTAAATAACATTCATTCTCATTTTTTCTTAACAGCTCATTTTTGGTAATAATACTGCAATGATCAGTGTTTACAGAGAACTGGAACATTGAAAATAAAGTTACGTAACAGGTTCAAGTAGTATGATCACAAATACGAAAATATGTTTTTAGGCTAAAATCTAATAATAATTTAAGTCACTTTTCATTACTGGTAAATTGTTCTGTTCTTTTTCAACATTTAGA